CCCCGCCCCCCTTTGGCTTGTTTTGGGGGTAGATGCGGGGAACCTTTTGAAGGGGGCCGGTTTCTTGTTTCAACTTAAGAAAAAACCTTTTTTTGCTGGGGGGCCCCAGTTTTTTTTGAGCGTTGGCCAAGCACGGCCGGGAAGGGGCTTTTCCTGCGGAGTCGTGCGTGGGCAGGGCTCCTCTTGGCTTTCTTCTACTCCCTACTATCATCTCGTTCCCGTCCTACCAGAGAAGCCCCCCCCCCCCCCCCTCTGACACGGGTGTACAGGCTTACTTCCTCCACACCCCAGTGCCCGAAAATCCACACCTTTTTTCTCACCGACGCCCAATCGCGCGCCATCCGCCAAACACACGCGCCGGCACTCGGCGGAAAAACTCTCCCGCCCCCAGTGCCCAGAAAATCGTCTCTCTCGTACGTGGCTGGGTCGATTGTAGGAAAACGAAGGGGACACTTGACGGTCGCGGCCTTCCGACTCGCGCCTCCGCCTCACTGGCACTATTGTAGCCCTGGCCGGTGCGCGTGCAGAGTTGAAACTCCCGAGTAAAAATTCGAACGCGTTCTCTCACGGTGACCAAAAAATGTCCACCTCAGAGGCACCTCCGGAGGCAGGCCGCCGCACGCCGGCGACACAGCTCCAGCTGTCGAGCTGACCCGCAGCTCCTCTCAGAGCGGGAACTGTGACGAAAGTTGACTGAGGCGGTTGTCAGGAATCATCATACGGATCACATGGTGGCTCTCTCATGACGGGAGACCGACCGACCACTCCTGGGTGGCACTGCCACCGGTGTCGCTCGACGTCCTGTCGACAGCGTGCCGACAGCGACACAGACCATGTGGGACGCGTCGAGTATCGACCTCTACTGCTTACCCAGCCTTCGAGTGTATCCTGGCCGTGGTCCCACACCCACTGGTGTCCATCTCAGAGACCGCAGGAGGTCATGAGGGTCGATGGGAGTGCCAACCCCACAATGCCTAAAGACCCAGCCCAGTACACTCGATACTCGAAACTCCCTAGCAGGGTGTGCTTCTCTTTTTCGATTTGGTCTCCTTTCCGCTCCGCCTCCGCCAACATACACTCCGACATGGCACATCCACACCGGCCCCACTCCACATGCTCTCCTCACACAATATACGGCTTACACGTACCTTCGTTCGCTCCCCAAGGATGGTACTAGTTCATACACACGTATGCCACGCCTCCACAGCCGCGGCCGCCGGGTGAGCGGGGGCACCTACCCACGCAAAACCCACACCTCTCGCCGCGCGCCTCACAGCGCATCACAGCGCGTCGAGGTGGTCGAAGCCCGTCAGAGCGTTGGAGAAACCATCCAGCTCGGCCGAGCTGCCTCCCGAAGCAACGACGGCGGCGGCGGCGAGGGCGGCGGCGCACACGCCCGCGGCGAGGAGGTCTCTGTCGGCGCGCGAGAGGCGCGACAGTGCGGCGCGCGCCTGGTGCGGACAGGAACAGGGGGGTCGGGGGTCGGGGGTCGGGGGTCGATGGGAGAGGAGAGGAGGGGCGAGGCGAGGCGAGGCGGGGAGAGGAGAGGAGAGGAGGAGAGGAGCGGAGAGGAGAGGAGCGGAGAGGAGCGGAGAGGAGAGGAGAGAAACGGAGAGGAGAGGAGGAGAGGGGAGCGGAGAGGAGCGGAGCGGAGAGGAGAGGAGCGGAGCGGAGAGGAGAGGAGAGGAGAGGAGAGGGCGAGACGAGGGGAGAGGAGGGGAGAGGATGGGAGAGGAGGGGAGAGGAGGGGAGGGGAGGGGAGAGGAGAGGAGAGGAGAGGAGAGGAGAGGAGAGGAGAGGAGAGGAGAGGGCAAGACGAGGGGAGGGGAGAGACGAGTGGGGCGTATCGGAGCGGAGAGGGCAGAGCAGCGGGGTCTCGCGCCTCGAGGACGGACGGCTCAACTGCCCCTCCCGCGGAGAGGACGATGTCCGCAGGCCGCAAATAGCCGAGGGGGGCGAGGGAGCGGCGCGCTCGCGCGAGCCGCGCGACCGCCGCGTAGGCGGGCAGGTCGAGCGGCAGGGCGAGCTCGCGTGCCCGAGCCAGCGTGGCCTGTCCAGTGCGGCGCGAGTGTGACGAGGCGAGCATAAGGGGAGGGCGATTGGTTTCTCTTCATCTCGGGTGGATCTCGCCTCGGCGAGAGCGCCGTCGCCGCGCGCACAGTGCGCCCGCACGGCGAGCCGAATCGCCTCCGTGTCGTACCGGGTGAGCGCGGCGCCCGGCGCGAGTGGAGAGCACCCGCGCAGGGCCTCCTCCAGCTCCTCGACCGCCGCGGGCTCGCCGAGCACCTCGAGCGGCGCCGCCGCTCCGTCGTCGCCCGCGTACTCGGAGAAGAGCCGCGAGACGCAGCCCCAGTCGCCGAGCGACGCCGCGGCGTGCATCGCCGCCAGCATCACCGCGGGGCCTGGCGGGGCCCCACAGGCGCGCATCCGGCCGAGCAGCGCCAGCACGTCGGCGTGGCGTCCCTCCGCCTCCCCGATCCGCATGAGCCCGCCGTACGCCCGTGCAGAGAGCGCGCCGCCCGCCACGTGCTCGGCAGCCTCGAGGAGCTCAAACCCGTCGTCAAAGGTGTCGAAAAGGCTGCGGCCGATGACCAGCGCGTTCTCCACAAGCTCCTCCGGCGGAAGCGTGAGCCAGTTGCGCGTGAGCGAGCGGACCAGGGGCGACGCCTTGGCCTTGGGCGCCCGCAGCAGCCGCTCCATCTTGCTGTAGAGCGCCGCCGACTCACTCGATCGCGAGTCGGAAGAAGAGGCAGTCATGCGCGGCGGCGGGACGCGCAGCGGGAGAGGCCCCGCCGCGAGCGCACGGGCGCGTAGCGGCAGCGACGGCGTCGCGAGGAGCGGAGGCCGGAGCGGCAGCGAGGGCGCCGCCGACGCGAGGAAAACGAGGGAGAGCATGAGTAGGTGTCGGGTCGCCTGAAACTCCTTCTTCGGGCGCCGGCTGTCATCAGTGGAGCGGGTTTTCTTTTCGTCCTAGACTAGAAAAGGCCTCCTTCTTCTTCGCATCCTTGTAAAATAAGGTGCCTATATGGACTTCCAGTATCGGACCTTCAAGACATGCGCTTTTGGCCGGTAACCTCTTCGGACAATCCTGTACTGTCCACTATGAAGTGTGAACAGGTTAGAGCAGCAGCTCCTGAGCACAGCGCCGCAGGCGCCTGTTGTGAGGTCCAGGTGATAGCCCTGAATAGGCAATGCATACGCCTTGTTGGGCCTCGATTCGCCCGCGCCGCGTCCCGGTGCTCTGTCTGTGGTCGGATTTGTGACGCGGCTGACGCCGCCGCACCGCGCCGCGGCCGGGGGCCCTCCGGAGGCCGAGGATGGCCGTGGCGGGACGAGCTCTGAGGGTTCAGTGTAAATATTGTAGAGACCAACCATGTGCACAATATCTCTCAATCTAGCTAAGCCTGGGGAGGCGATGCTGGGGCCGTACAGCAGCTTGATGGTGTCTCACCGGCGTGCGTGCGTGCGTCCCGGAGCGGTGCCGGACGGGCGGTCCGTCGGAGGAAAACGAGGGACAGCGCCGACGGCGCTCTGATTCGTCGACTTAACTTCAAACGAAGACAACGCGCCGCAGCGCGCGGTGCGTGCCACTGTCAGGAGCGGATCCGTCAGTTAGTCGTGTTCACGCCGGGATCGTGTCCCTGACAACCTGGGCAGACTTTAGGCCTGGACAGTAGATCTTCTGGTCTCAGTATTCCAGGTTGTGCATGTGATTCCCGATCGCAACCAGTGTGTAATGATAGCCCAGCATCGCTCGCGCGTACAACACAGACATTGTGCGTGGTTGCCGTCCTGATCCTCCTGCTGAGCCACATCAGTGAGTACATTGCGGACACACATGCGCCGGTTCGCAACAGAGGAGCACCGGGCCCTGGAGCCACACCCGTATAAACCTCGGTTTGATCTCGCGGTACGAACATGCAGCATGCAGAAGCATGTGCGATCCTAGCTTGTCCCGCATGTCGTCGCACCACATCCCATGTTCCCATCTCCGTGTACATCTTCGTCCACAATTGAACCGCGTTGCGAAGTGAGACATCCCGGCCTCGGCCCGAGAATCACCGTCACGACTCTCCGACGTCTCGTCATTCTCCGACGCCTCGTCGTTGGACGACGTAGCCATGCCTCGACTGACTACACCCACAGCTCCATCCTCGTCACCTCGCTCGCGATGCTCTCTCTCCACCAGCGGCTTCAATGTACTGCTCAGATTCGAGTGCGACTGGTCACGCTCGACCGGCTCGCTAGTCGCCGGCAGGACGACGACCGCGTGCGGCGCATCGCCGGCCTCTTCGCTCCCGCCGGCGCCATCCGTGTCTCCCGGCGGAGGCATCGCGTTTCGAGCCACAACGGACTGCGCGCTCCGCTTTTCGAACCACCAAAACTCGCTGCACCCAGGTGCAGGTGCAGGTGCAGGTGCAGGTGCAGGTGCAACAAGTTTGCGCCCGGCCCTCTAGCGCCGCGCGCTGGCCCCGGGCCCCGGCTGCGTCCCCGCGCGGCCTGCCCGATGGCGTGGCGCCCGCCCTCCACCCACCTCCCCGCGCGGGGCCGCTCCGGGGCGACCCGGCCGCCCTCCGACCCCACTGCCATACTCCTAACAACGAACCTAAAACTATCCTTCACTATCCTTCAACAGGAAAAACAAAACAAATCTGCGCATCAGTCATGACATCCCGATGTGGCGTCGTGCTGCTCGAGCAGCACAGCCACAAGCCCTGCACTGCCGGCGTCACCTTCGGCTGCGTCGACCGTCACACGTTCTGGTCGTCGTGCCGCGGCCAGTTTCGTTGTGGGACCAAAACTTCGACCCGGCCATGTGGATACCCGCCGGGCGCCGCGTTGTACACAAGTGCAGCTGCCGCAGCGATGCCCGGCCCGCCCTGCCGTTCCAGCGGAGCGCGTGCGCCTTCTCTCGGGACGCGCCGTCCCCGGATCCCATCGCGCTGAGGCGCTCGCTCGCCGCTCCGGGAGCCGACGCGCGCTGGCGGGCGACGTTTGCAAAGCTCGACGCCGGCCGGCCTCTGACACTCGCCGTCTTCGGTGCGAGCGTCGCGCAGAACGCCGGGTGCACGGCCCAGCCGGACAAGCGCTGCTTCAAGTACGGGCCGCACGCGAACGTCCACGGCTTCGCCGTTCAGCTCTTGGAGCACCTGAACCGCTCGTGGCCGCACGAGGGTCACGATTCAGAACGCCGGCCTCGATGCGACGCCGCTGAGCGCCGCAATCCCCTGTTTGTTCACGCACGTCCTGCCCGGATCGCTCGATGTGGTCATCGCCGAGTCGGGCTCGATGGCTCCGTTCATGAGGGACGTCCCTCGCTTCTCGACGATCGAGAGCCTCGTGCGGCAGCTCCTCTCCCGTGGCCGCGCACCCGTGATCATCTTGCTCTCGATCAGAGACTGGTGCAAGGCCGGCGGTCGTGAGACGTGTGGGCGCTTGCGGCGGCCGAGGAGCTCCGCGTGTGCGAGCATTACGGGCTTACGTGCATCTCGCCGCGCGCGGCGCTCGAGCCCCTCCTCGCCGATGGCCGCCTCAACGTCTCCGATGTTGCCGGTCGGCGGCTCGGCCTCAATTCTCCGCTCGGCATCGGCTGCGAGACGGTGTGGGGCCCGAGCGACTGCCTGCATCCGCTCAGGTCGCGCGCGCGGCGCGGCGCCGCGCTCCTTGCAGAGATGCTTGCGCACGCGTTCGACCGCGCCGCGGCGCGGGCGGCGGTCGCACCCGCCGCGGAGTCGACCGCGCGGCTGCGCGAGCGGCTGCCGCCGCCGCTGCACAAGGTCAACACCGCGGTGGAGAGGCCGTACGCGTGCTACTCGCTGGAAAAGCCGTACGCGATCGTGCCCGAAAGCGGGACGCAGCGGCTGCTACCGCTTCAGTGGCGAACGGGCCTATGCGACCCGCCTGCCACCGCCGACTGCCGCGTTGCCCGTCCAACCAACAACGTCTCGGCACACTGCCCCTCGCTGGGAACGTCGCGCGCTGCCTACGCCGCGTTCCTCCATGCGCCGCCGCCGGCGTGGATCTTTTGCAGCCACAGCCTTAGCCCGCTTCAGGGCCAGCGAAAGCCGTCGCCGGGCGTGGTCGCGCTGGTGGCCGGGGCGGTGCTCGAGTTTGACCTGCCCGATCGACGCGCCGGAGCGCCGCAAAGCGTCGGGATCGAGCATCTCACCTCGTACGAGGGCATGGGCACCGCCGAGGTGGAGTGCAGGGGCGTGTGCCACTGCGACGCGCAGCGCATCGACGCGCACGCCGCCGCGGCGAGCGTGCGGGCGTCGACCTGGGTATGGCACACCTGGGAGATGGAAAGCTCCGAGGGCGGCGGCAAATGCGCCCTGCGGCTGACCGTGCTCGCCGACACGAGCAGCGGAGGCCACAAGTTCAAGGTGAGGGGCTTTAGGATGTGAGTTCACATGACGTACGACCTCTGTGCGCGGTTGTTTGTGACAGAACATTTTACACGGCTGTGTATGTTTGTTATGTTTGCGTGAATAAGAGAGTGACTGTCACTGATCGGTGCTGTCGATCCATCGCGACCGTCGAGCGCGGCGTGGGGCGTGCGGGGTGTTCCCTCACGTGGTGCGCCCGCTGTGTGTGAGCTGTGACACCTGAGTGTCCCCTCGACAACACGGTATCGTGTGCGATTTCGGGCGCCCGGGGTTTTGTGCTTTTGTGTGAAAGAGAGAGAGCGAGTACCTGACTGGTACGGAGCCTCGAAACATGCTACAGCCATGATCATGATGCTCTCATCCCGGCTCACGCAGCGATCCGTCCCACACCGTCGTCTCCTCTTCGCAAGTCTGGCACTCGCCCTCCGCCTCGCAGCCGCGCGCTCGCGCAGCCGCCCGCGCAGTGATGCCCAGCCGCGGCTCGAGGGGCGCCAGCCCGGCGGCGCCGGCGAGAGACAGGCCTACACAGGCGCCGCCCGCGAGCCGTGAGGCGCGTGGGGCGAGGGCGGGGCGGGCGGCGCGGCGGGCACCGCAGAGGGCGTAGTGGGTGTGGAGCAGGTCCGGCCGCGTGTCCGGGTGCTTTGCGATCCCGCCAAACGTCGGGTGCGCAAACTGGCACGAGAGGCAGAATGCGCTCAGCGCGGCCCGCTGCAGCAGGGTCGCCGCGCCGAGTAGCGCGAGGGAGCCGCCTGGAGCCGCACTCGTGGCCAGAGTGAGAAGTCGCGGCCGAGATCTGGCCGAGAGGCAGCGAATTGAGGGTGCCGATCCAGAAGGAGTAGCACGTGTCCTCGTCCTTGTTTGGCCGGCCCTGGAAGCCCCCCACCTGCGAAAGGTGCGCGGCTCGGCCAGATCTCGCTCCGATCTCGGCTCGATCTCGGCTCGATCTCGCCTGCCGCTCGACGCACCACCGCACCGTCCTCTGCGGCTGCGGCAAGCGGCGAAGGGTCCCCATCAGCGCGAGGGCGGCGAGACCGGTGAAAGTGGATCCGCCGTGCGACTCCTGCGGCGGGGGAGGCGAGGCGTGGTCGCGGCCACGGCGGCGGAGGAGCGCTCCCTCTCCCTCTTCCTCCCTCTCCCTCCCTCTCTCTCCCTCCCCCTCCTGCCCAGGTCCGAGCCCGAAGCCGCCGTCGAACCCGCGCGACTCGAGGACGTACCGCGTCGCCCGCTCGACGTCGATGCCGCTGCTCGGAGGCACGGCACCTGCAGGAAGGGTCCGAGAAGGGTCCGAGAAGGGTCCGGGAAGGGCTCGCAGCCGCTGCTCTCTGTGCGGACGGCGCCGCCGCGCAGCATCGCGACGACCGCCGCCGCGCAGAAGAGGAAGCGCATGTCGCGCTCGCCGCCCGGGTAGGCGGAGAAGCAGCCCGCCTCGTCCTGCAGCGAGCTGACAAACGCGAGCACACGCGGCCCATCGACGCGCGAGAGGTCGTCGCCGAGCGTGAGCAGCACCGCGAGCGCCGTGTAGGTCATCGCGAGGTGCGCGCCGTCGTACGGGCTGCTCGAGGGCGCGCCTCCCGACGAGTGGGCGGCGCCGAGGTACCCCGACCCGCGGAAGCCACCCAGCCGGTCTGCAGGCAGGCCGGCGCAGCCGTCCGAGGGCGGCAGCACCTGGAGCGAGTAGATCCACTCCACGATGCCCGCCCGGAGCGGCGCGTCTATCTTCCCCAAGTGCGCAAGCACGTCGAGGCCGGCGACGCAAAAGTATGCGAGCGAGAGCCGGCTAGTGTCGAGCGCGGCGTACGGCTGGGGCACCTCACGAAGGCAGTGCAGCAGGTAGCGAGCGTGCTTGTCGCGCTCGAGCTGGGTTGCCATATACTGGTGCGGTGGCGTGGTGGAGAGCGGCCACTGCCGGGTGGAGTCGCTGCCGACAGCGTGGTCGGCAGCTGTTGCTTGCGCGGATTGCACCGGGCGCTACCCAGGTCCGCTAACGCCGCCGCGTTTTTCTTTCTGTGTGTGCCTTCCGAGCCCTTGTCCTTTTTGGTTGCTTTTCTAGCTTTAGCTGCGTGTCGCTCGTGCGTGCCGTCATCATCTGTCTAGCGTCCACCCATACCGCGTTGGTGTCCAGTCCGAGCCCGACTGTTCTTCACCTAACCTAAAGCTTTGCGAAAAGGGTGGAATTTCGCGTGTAGGTCACCCGCGCTATGTATCTCGAGATCCGGGGCATGTATCAACCATCATCCTCCGCGCGAGGCCGAGGGCAGACCCGCACACTGGACGACTAAGGTGCAAAACAAAAACCTCTGTAACGTGTAAGAACCACAATGCACAAAAGGTGAGCGGCGGGAGCTCGAGGCCGAGGTGAGCCTGAGCGTGGGGAGGACCGTCTCGACCGAGGGCGAGCGTCTTTTTTATTCGTTGATCGTTTCTTATCCGATTAAACCTCTGCAATGAACCGCAAAAAAACCCGACGACCTAACAGGTCGCCCACCTGAGAGCGTCTCCGTCTGCCACCGCTCCAACCAGAGAGAGCAGAGAGGCGCCCGTGGCTCGTCACCGGCGCGTCGCCGCCCCCAGCAGCCGCCGCCTCACCTCCTCGCTCGCCCACCGCGAGCAGCACACGACGCCGCCCTGAACGCGGAAGGTGCGGCCGGGGAAGGCGACGCGGCCTCCCTCGCAGTCGGAGGCGCTCCCGCCCGCCTCCTCGACGCAGATGAGGCCGCACGCGTGGTCCCAGGACTTGAGCTGCTCCTCGTACTGCACAAACCCCGCCGCGCGGCCCGCCGCGACGTAAAAGTACTTGATCATCGCGCCGCAGCACACCTCCGACGGCGGGTGCGCCGCGCCGAACGGCTGGCACTCGGCAAAGGCCCGCTGCGGCGAGATGAGCCACGGGGGCGCCGCCCCTCCGTCCGCCCAAGCGGGGCGAGGCGCCGCCTCCTGCTCCACGGGCGCGTCGCCGCCGGCACGCCACCACGTGAGGCCGTGCCTGAGGGACGCGTCCGGGGGACGTGTCACTGGCCGGTGTGCTCCCGAGAGCATGCCGCGCGCCACGAGAGGCCCGCGCCCCCGCACGGCGGCCATGATGGGAGGCACCTCCTCCTCGGCAGGCACGCCCATCACGCCGACCAGCGCCTCTCCGTCCCCGTCGACGAGCGCGAGCCCGACCACGTAGTTTTGGCCTAGGAGACGTGTCCAGGGCGCGTCAGGGACGTGCCTCGAAAGGGTCGACAGCCCGGGTAGCACAAATATATTTACCCGTCATGAAGCCCTTGGTCCCGTCGATCGGGTCGAGCACCCAGCAGCGCTCTCCCGTGCCTCGCGGCGGCTCGAGCCCGCGGTCGACCGAGGCGAGGAAGGCGGCCTCGTCAGGCTCTCCGCCGTACTGCGACGAGAGCCGCAGCGCGAGGCTGCGCAGCGCGGCGTCCTCACGCAAGTCACCCGCGTCCTCCTCGCCCATGAAGCGGTCGGCGGGGAAGGCGCGCCCGAGCTCCTGCGAGATGAGGCCCTGGATGGCAAAGTCTGCCGCCGTGACGGGCGTCGAGTCTCCGGCCTTGATGAAGGAGACGCCCGCCGTGACGTCGCACTCGTCCATCTCCTTGCCGCTCGCCTCGGAATCGACGACGCGCATGTCGCAAGCGAGCGCCTGGCAAAGCTGCATCGCCCGCTGGACGCACCGAACGGCGATGCGAGCCTCGGCCGCCAGATCGCCGCCCCAGTCCGGCCCGCCGGCAGCAGGCCTGCCGGCATCAGCGCCGTCATCGGTCGCCCAGACAAAGCCGGGCGGCGGAGCGGCTTCGACGAGGCGAGCGCTGCTGGCGCGGCCGACAGCGCACTGCCGCGAGACCGAAGTTGCGTGCATGAGCGCCGCCGTGGCCGACGCCAGAGCGAAAGCTAGCGACATGTAGCAGGCCGCGCCGACCGCGCGAGTAGGAACTCCCGCTGCCGACGAAAAAGAATTTAATCGGGCTCAGCACACGTACCAAGGGTGGGCGACGGCTAGCGCACCACACCCCTCTCCTTAAAATCCCTGTGTGGTGGCGGCGTGCCGTCCTCCCATCCCTCCCTTGCGTTGTCCGGTTTCTTTGTTTCTTTTTACACGTACCAAAACAAATATCGTACCAACCCGTACTAACTCCAAGGCAATACATTGATTCGCACATGCGACCAACACGTGCGACCATGTACAACATGTAGCAAAAGCAAGCCAAGATGTGCATGCCGTAGACGCGAGCTTCACAAGTGCGGCGTGATGCGATCAGTTCAGGGTCAGCGTGGATTCTAGCAGTCAAACCGGTGCCGGTGGGAGGGGGGCTATGCAATGGGGTCGACGGGCGGCGGTATGCCATGGGGAGGCGGAGGTTTCGCGTCGAGAAAGTTGACGCCGATGCTGATCCTCGCTTGCTCTGCCTCGGCCACTCCATCGGGCAGGACCGCCTGCATGACGGCGTGAGGGACGGAGCCCGGAAAGATCCACAGCGAGCCCGGGGTCGGCGCCACGGACATGTAACTGTGCGAGAAGTGGCTCGGCTGAGCGAGATCGGTGGCAGGATGTGCGGGCCTTCCCTTGGGCCCGCATCGAAAGAGCATGTGGCCGCTCTCGGGGCACGGGAAGCCAGGCGCATTCGGCTCGCCATCGCTCACAAAGTAGACGGCGCTCCACCGCTCGACGTCATGCTGGTGGACGGCGTTCCAGTTGGCCCCGCGATTCACGTTGAGCCACGCGTAGGCTTCGTGCAGCTCGCCCGGTGCGGGCGCTAGCCACTCGTCGCCCTCGTAGCTCGTGCTGTGTCCGCGGGCGTCAAGCTCGAGCGCGACAACCTCCGTGAGTGCCACGCTGACGAGGTCGCGGAGCTCGCCGCAAAGGTTCGGGGTAGCTCTGGTAGCCACCCTTGTTGGTCTTGACCACGCCTGCGTTGCTGCCAGGCCCTGGTGGAATGTGGACGAGCCTCATCTCACATTCCGCCGCCGCCTGCTCCTTTCGCTCGGCCAATTCGAGCAGGCTTTCATTCAGCGGCGATGCGATACAGCGGCGGAGGGTGAAGCGATGCACAACGTCCATCAGCTGAAGTCCGCGCCCACACACTCACGCTCGCAAGGGAGCTCATACGTTGTGTGCGTCGACAGAGAGTTTTGCGCAGCGACAGAGAGCCGCACATTCGTCGCCTGCGGCAGCAACGGCTCGAAGGTCGACGTGTCAGGCAATTTCATTGATCCCTTCCCGATGAGTAGCGTGGACACGGGCTCCATCACGCTGCACGTCGGTCATGCACAAAAGCACCTTCGCTGAGAAGAGAGCTAACCTGGAATCTCACGGCTGTGTTTGATCGACGTCGTCTCGCAGGTCCACAGCTCGACGTCGTCCACACAGGCTCTCTCTCGCCACTGCGTGCTGGATCGTCTTTTCTTTTCGATGCTTTCCCTTTCTATATCGCAAACCCTGTCAGCAGTTCACCTACGGGTATGTTCCTAAGAATTTTAGGTGTATTGTTGGCAGACAAGACTCAGAGCTCACACAGAATCACAGCGGGAGGAAAGCGGCGAGAGAGCTACATACACTGAAAATGGATGCTAGCATGAGCCCGATGAGTTGCAGTGCTGTTGCGTTGTTTGCGCTTCGGCGGTAGTGATCTGATCACCCGAATGCCACGTTCGGATCGCTCCTCATCGCAAACCCCGTCAGCAGTCCTCCTCCGGGAATGTACGTAAGAGCTACATACATTGAGAGAGAGAGAGGGGGGGCCCCTAGGGGCCTAGAGAACACAATCCCCTCTCCCTTTTCTCCCATTAAGCTAAAAACTACTACTACACTGAGAGAGAGACACACAAAAGAAAAGTACGCTCAAAATTCCGAAGCCACCCTCCCCCCCCACGACCCCGCGCCGCCCGCCTTTTACTTCGAGAACTCCACGGTCAGACAGTGGCGACGGAAATGTGTGTGTATGGCGCCCGCGAGGTCGAAGGCTGTCTCCCTCGAGGACCGTCGCGCTGCTAGCGCCTCGACGGTGCGCCCGATTGACGGCGGCGCTTTCGCGGCTCCAATATTGGCGCCGGAAGCGATGGAGGTGGCGAGGAGAATGTACAATGAGCTGCGGCCTGCAGAGACTCCGCTCCTCCAGACGTCCTCGGGACAGTTCCAAAAGCTGAGGAGCGGCGACTCTGACTTTTGCACCGCAACTCCTAGGTGGCAGAGCGACATTGCCTGGATCAGCCCACTTGGCGAGGCCTCCTTCCGTTTCTTTCAGGCCCTCTTTGACCGGCTGCAGATTGCCCAGCAGTTTGCCTTCCTCTGCGAGGTGTGCCTCTTCTCCGCCTTTTTCGTCCGGCGACGGGCCGCACACAAGACGAACTTTCACAGGGACTTTCCGGGGAACGCAAAGACGGTCTTCACATTCATGGCGCCGCTGCATGACATGAGCCGTCTCTCAGACTGCCAACTGCTCTGCCAGGATCACAGAGGGCGAATTAGGCAATACCGTTACCAACTCGGCCAAGCTATCGTCTTCGGCGGAGAATTCGTCCACTCCACGGAGACGGGCGTCGCCCCGCAGCCACTCGCCTTTCTTTGCTTCACCTTTGGCGACCGGCGGATGCTGGCGCACCAGTGGCTGATGGCAGAGAAGACTTGCAGGGCTCAGAGCTTCACCTACCAGAACCTGACGGGCAGAGTGGTGGAGCTGAGGCCCATGGGCACTGAAGGTTTCGCGTGGGTCGACGCGGTGCAGCACAAAATCCCGGAGGAGGAGGAGGGGGAGGAGGAGGCAGGGTCGCCGTTACAGCGGGGCCGCCGGGTGCAGCAGCCTAGCGCCTCCCGTTCGGAGGTGCGGTGCCTTGCGCGAGGCGCTTCCTTTGGCGCCGCGCTCCGCATGCAGCGCGCCGAAGCCGCGGGTAGACTCGGGCGAGTTCCGTGAGATGTAAGTGAGAGAGAACACAAAATGAGTATGCATATGGCCGAGATCATCTGAGACGTGAGACACAGAACACAAAATGAGATATGGCCGAGATCACCTGAGACGTGAGACAAAGAACCCTGCACAATCCACAAAGACCGCATGGGCGGGGACTTGCTCCTTTTTACCCATCTCCTAGTAGAGGGGTCTGCTGTATACGTTTATTTCTGAGACGTGAGGGAGCTTGTGGAACTCTCTGGAAGTGCTCAGTGCGCTCTTGTGGGTTTGTGTGTGGATTGTGCTGAAAACACATATGCATATACTCCCCGCACCGAACACGATGAGCTTTTCTAGGACAGTCACAGTGGGTCTGGGGGACTCCGAACGGCCGAGCATGCCCTCGCATGCCGGACAACCACTAGGTAGGTCATTCGTCATTATATAGACCTCCCCCCTCCTGAGGAATGTGTTTCGTGGATGGTAACTTGTTTGCTCATAACGCCGCTTGTAACCACGACCGATGCGAGGACGCAAGTCCACCGACCTCGGCCATTCCAACGGCCAGGCCGCTCGCTTAAGGCTGATTGGCTAGACGAGCGGCCTACCTCCAACGGGGAAGTCTGACGAACGGGGGAGCTCTGATCGCCGTACTCACCGGGACGCTGGTGAGGTGACGGTGGGAGGGCGCCCCCCAGACAGCCCCTCCCGACGGGGACGCCACCACCCTCGCCCAGGGATCTACAATGCTGTCTTAAGGTCCGACAGGTTCGGCACCGGGCACCGCCTCGGTATACAAAATGCGCCTGCGGGCGGACCCTTACAGATCACAGATCACTCAAGAGTCGCAGTGAGAGTCACTCGTCCAAGCTAAATTTCATTCGCATTGTCGAGTGCAGCGTACCCGTCTTTGGAGGTCGGCGGCGGTCCTCCGTCGGTGGCCGGGCTGGGGCAGACGGGACGGGCGGTCGCCACGCGACGCCAGCCGTGCCCGCACGTCGCGGCGGCACGTCGCGGCCCTCCGCACGCAGCCCATCCATGGTGCTCTCGTATTTGTCCCCCGGCCAAAACATTTGCATGCAGGCTCCGCAGCGGTAAAAGACGGGCTGCACGCGCAGTACTGCGTGCGGCACCTGCCCCGCCTCGACCTCGTCCGGCCGGAGCGTCTGCCACTCGTCGCCGTTGCAGATGCCGCAGCGCGAGCCGCCCGCGTCGACCAGCCCGCTCAACTCGAGCACCGCCAGCAGCTCCGCAAACTGCGCGCTCGCGTCGGTGGCGAGCAAGCGGTAGGCGGCGCCCGGAAGTGCGCCCGCCGCCCGCTTGGCGCCCGCGTTCATCACGATGAGCCTCCCCTCGAGCGCGGCGCTGCGCATGTGCTCGTCGAAGAGCGATGGCACGATCCCGACGCGCAGCAGCCCGACGTTGCGCCGCGCGGCGGAGCGGCCGCCCCCCCGAACCGCCTCCGCGCCACCGCCATTGGCGGCAGCCGCCTCGGCGGCGGCGGCGGGACTGAGCGCCGGAGAGCCCTGTCCCTCCCCGCCCGCCGGCTGCTGCCCCTTGATCACCTCGCCCGCGACGCGCGTGTCGACGCCGACCATGCGCAGCTTGCGCGCGAGCACGGAGAGGGACGAGTCGACAACCAGCCCGAGCTCCGGAGCAACCACCCCGCCGCCGCTGCCCCCGTCGCTGTCCCTGTCGCTGCCCCCGTCGCCTAAGTTCGGCGCCTGTAGCTGCTGCTGCTTCAGGTAGCCAGACGCCGTCTCGCTGACGAGCCCCGGCCGCTGAGAGTGCGGCCGCTGCCGCGTCGCCGCGTCGCGCCACATCGCCTCGGCCGCGGCCGCCATCGAGTCGAGCGCGTCGTCGAGCGAGCCGTGCCTGCAGGAGGAGGGGAGGGGGGGAGGAGGAGGCGAGGGCGGCGGGCGGTGAGTCGGGGCGAGCCTGGAGGCGCGGCCGTCGAGAGAGTTTTAGCGCGCCACACGCCCGGCGGCGGGAGCCACGCGAAGGCCGGTTCGCCCGGCGCCAGCCCACGCGCGGCCGCTGCCGCGAGGTGCGGGAGGGCGACGCGAGGCGACTGCACGCGGAGGATGTGCAGGGGGTCGCCGCTCGAGCCCCACAGCTCCGCGCACTCGCCGAGGCTGGGGTGGCAGAGCACTCTCACGCCGGCGCGCAGCGGGACGGGAGGCACCCTCCCGGGGACGGCGCCTGGGACGCGTCAGGGACGTGTCATGGCCCACGGGTTAGGCGGCACACCTCCCCCCCAGGGGCGCCGAAGAGGTCGACACATTCGTCGGCCGAAGCGAGGCGGAGCTTGCGCCTCGCCACGCCGAGGACGACGCTCAGCCAGCGCAGCTCCACCTGGGCGTGTCGTGGACGTGTCGCGGGCGTGTCGTGGGCGTGTCTCACTCAGCCAGCGCAGCTCTGCCTGCTGGCTCGCTGGCGTGAGTACGAGCAGCAGCCCCGCCCCGCCGGCCGTAAAGCAGAGCGCGTTCACCTCCTCCGCCTCCGCCTCGCCCGCCTCCTCCGCCGCCACCTCTCCGCCGCCGCCGCCGCCGCTACCACTGCCGCCGCCGCGCGCCTCCACCGCCACCTCGGCCCCGCCCTCGCTGTGACCCGCCAACGCGGCGGCCGCCGCTGCCACAGCGACGCGCACTCGCTCGAGACCTTCCGCCTGCGTCGCCTCAAGCTCCGCAGCCTCGGTATCGTCGACGGCGGCATCCGTGTCGGCGGCGGCATCCGTGTGTGCGGCGGGGCTCGCGGCGAGCTCGCGCTCGACGCGCCTATGGTGCGGTCCAGGACATGTCAAGGACCCACAGGTGTTGGAGAGGGCGGCGCGAGCTCGCGTGCGGCGCGCGAGTCTGTGCTCGCGTCTGCCAGCGCGCGGCTCGCGTCTGCCAGCGCGCGGTCGAGGAGGTGGAGGCTCGCGGCGTCGGCGGCGGCGTAGCGCAGCTGCTCGCGAGAGAGGGGCCGTCGCTGCCAGTCAGAGCACTGCATCGCCTGCGGGTGGCGGAGCTGGGTGGATGGGTGGGTGAGGCGGGGTGGGTGGGAAGGCGCCGGGGGGTGGAAAGGCGACGGGTGGCGGCAGAGAGGATGTGCGGGAGAGGGGAAGCGGGAGAGAGGGCGGGTGTGAGAGAGGGTGTGGCGAGGGAGGACGTGGCGTGGGGAGAGAGGCGCGGCGCACGGCGGCGCCTTGTCGAGGGTGACGCCTGCCCAGCGCGAGAGCTGGGCGGCGAGGCCGCCCGCGCACGGCGGCTCGACGCCGGGGAGGGTGCGGTTGCACGCCTCGCGCAGGTCGACCACGCGGCGGGCGGTGAGCGCGAAGCCGGGCGCGAAGCCGGCCCTCGGCGAGCAGCGCAGCTGCAGCCTGTCCAGGTCGCCCTGCACCGCAAAGCCCAGCTTGCGCACGCTCTCGCTGCGCAACACCTCGGCGAAGAGGACGAGCGGCCTCTCGGGGTGCTCGACGACCGCCGCCGCCTCCAAGTCGACCAGCCAGACGCCATCCGCCGTCGAGAGCTGCAGCAGCGACGGCGGGTGGCTCTTGCAGCGGCCGCGGCCGTCAGGCCGCCACTCGGCATCGAACGCAAGGGTGGTGTCGTTCGCACTGGCGAGAGTGCGGCGCAGCATCTGTGCGAGCGCATCGGCCGACGAGGGCGTGTCGCACAGGTGGATGGGCGCGTCGAGAGAAAAGAGCGGCGGCGACACCGGAGGAGCGGGCGCCCGCGCGAGGCGTGCCGCCGCACGAGGTGCGCCCTGTGCGAGCAGGTGCTGCTGCAGCAGCGTCGACGCGGACACGAGCGTCATGGCCCCGGGCGTGAGAGGCGGTGCCACGGCTGCTTGTCGTGCGGTGTCTAGCGGAAATTAGCAGCAGGCTTCGACGAAAAGAATTTAAACAAAACTCTCTCTCAAAGCACACAGGCTCGACACAGGTGTGAACTGGCGCGTGCTAGTACTATCACCGGCACACCACCGGAGCCGCCTAAGCGACTCCGTTAAGAGCGGCAATGCACTTAGCACCGTGCACAATCGACGAAAAGAATTTTACAAAACTCCCTCGCACAACACGAACAGAATTTTACACTCATGCTGCCTCGCACAACACTGGGCACCTCTCCTTAAAATCCCTGTGTGGTGGCGGCGACCGGCGTGCCGTCCTCCCATCCCTCCCTTGGGTTGTCCGTTTTCTTTCTTTTACACTGGGCACGGACGAAAAGAATTTTACAAGCAAAGGCAAGGCACGGGCGACGGCTTCCTTAGAAGCCGTCGTCCTCACCGAAAAGAAAACCAGAGTCGGACTGAAGCTTGTAGTTCGCCACGGCGCGCGATTGTCCATCGGCCGAGGCCGCTCGCCCACGGTGGGGCCGCTGCTGCCCGACGTCTTTGCCCGGTGCGCGCCGCGAGGTGCGGCGGGACCAACGCAGGCGGCGGTCTACCTCTACCTGTTGTGTGACGATCAGGTTGAAAGGCTCTTCTAGGTAGGTCTGCGCTCGCGTTTTTCTTTTTCTTTCGTTACCCCCCTACCCTTTGTGTACACTTTAGGGGGGCAGGCAGTGAATGGACGAGAGTAGGGATGGACGCGCGGCGTTGGCGGGGTTAAGAGCTAGGGTAAGAGACGCCTCTTCAAATCTCGGTCAAAAAGGCCTCGTGCACGGCCGGGCAAGCCCAGGCCCCGCCGCGCTCTAGAGCGGCTCCCACGGCCACGCTTCTCGGTAACGATCGAAGAAGTCCCCCCCCCCCCCCCCCCCCGAACGACGTCCAGCTTCCTTACCACGTGCGACGACGACGTGCCGCGACCCGCTCCTTGACACACTCGACTCATCGGTCATCGCGCGACGATGCCGGCAGGCGAGCGTTGCAGCGCCCTCGATGAAGTACGTCAGGGAGGAGGGAGAAGCAGAGCTCGCCACACCGCGCACACGGCACCGCACGAACGGCTGACGAACGGCAACGGGGCTTGCGGCGCCAGTACACCACACTGTGCGTGCCTGCGCGTGGCTGCACGTGGTAGGGAACGGCTCTGCCCGCCCGTCGAGTTCCTCGGAGAGGGCCCGTTGGCTGCCCCGTTTTTCTTTGTGCAGTACACAGACTCAAAACGTAAAGCAAGTCTTATTGTACGCATACACACAACTGCATGAGCATGTGGCATGTGCCCTCCTTTCTCCAGCCTGCCCTGGCTAGTCTGCACTCTGCAGTCACCACCCGGCGCCGTCCCCTACTGCGACATCTCCTGGTTGAGCGGCGCGGCCGGCGGCGCCGCGGTCGAATCCGAAGGGCCGCCGAAGAAGTCACGGTAGTCCACACCCGCCCGGCCGCGCGCAAAGTGCGCCCACGTGTATACTGGCCAGCAGCAGGTGACGGTGGCGCAGCACGCCAGAGTGCCCGCGCCGCCGCCGATCGCGCATACCTCGCGGCCGCCGCACCACGTGCGCGAGATGCCGTCGCCAGTGTTGCAGTAGTATGCCGGATTGAAGCACGAAATCACCCACGTCGAGCTCTGGCCGAGCTCGGAGGCGGCGCCGAGGTCTGTCTCGCGGGTGAAGGTGGTGCTGGTGGTTGTCGCAGCCGCCACCGGCGCGGCGCGAGACTTGACGGCCAGCCCGTTGGCGAGCTGCTTCTCCCTGACGTACTTCATCGAGGGCATTGCAACGCTCGGCTGCGGCATCGTCGCGCGATGAGTGTCTCAAAAGGCGGGTCCGGCACGTGGTAAGGAACCTGGACATCTCGTCGGGGGTGGGGGTGGGGGGGGGGGGGCTGGGGCTGGGGGGGCTTCTTCGATCGTTACCGAGAAGCGTGGCCGTGGGAGCCGCTCTAGAGCGCGGCGGGGCCTGGGCTTGCCCGGTCGGTCGGTCGTGCACGAGGCCTTTTTCGATGTATGTAGCTCTTTTGAGAGAGAGATTTTTATTTAGCAATACCAAACAACTCTAACACTCACACGTCATTTGGGGCCTGGAGCCCTGTTCACGCGCGCGCGAGACGTGCAGACAGGGTTGCCAGGTGTGGTGAGAGCGAATGGCGCGGTTCACGCCTCGCAACAAACAACAAATCTCTCTCTCTCCGCCTCGCACAACAGAGAGAGAGAGAGAGATGCGCTCTGCATGGTGGGACACAAAAGAGAGCGAGTACTTGGGCGAGTAGGAGAGAGAGAGAGTTCTAGCGTTTTGCGTTTGCGAGTAGGCCGTGTGGTCAACGCTGCCGCGCGTGCGCGCGAGGCGGGGCGCAGCTTGAGAACGGCGGTGGGCGAGAAGCCGCCGCCGAACGTCTCGTGGAGCAGGAGTTTTGCCTTTTTGACCGAGATTTGAAGAGGCGTCTCTTACCCTAGCTCTTACCCGCGCAACAGGAGCAGCCGCGCGTCCATCCCTACTCTCGTCCATTCACTGCCTGCCCCCCCTAAAGTTTACCACACAAAGGCTATGGGGGGTACGAAGAGGTAGGTATATAGGTAGAAAGGTGAAGAACAGCCAGGCTCGGACGGGACACCAACGCGGTATGGGTGGACGCTAGACAGATGATGACGACACGCACGAGCGACACACAGATACAAACAGGCTCACAAGACACACAGCCAGCTGGCTGCCACACACCCTGAGTTGGCGTACACATAACTCAAGGCCACATCCTCCCTGTCGCCCCCCCCAGCACTCCAAGGTGCCAAGAGAACAAACAAGGGCACAACAAACAACAGACGACGGGAAGTAAGATGCGAGACTAGAGCAGACCGCTCCGCCTCTAGCAATCTCGCCGCGTCGCCGGCCGGCGAGGCACGGACGAGACCGTGTGTGGGGTCTTGTGAGGTGTCTATGGACGCCCTCCTCAGAGGCTAGCTGCCTACTGCTAGCCCTATCTCGCACTCACGGGCAGTGACAATTCAATGGGTGAGTGTTTGTGAGCAGAGGCGCGTGCTAGGGCGCGTGGGCTAAATCTAGGCCGCACGTCGTGGCACTATGACGAAGTTAGACGTGCGGCCGCAGCGCGCCCGCCGCAGGCTCGGCGGTGCGCGCGTGTTAGCGAGAAGTTGCGGGTGGAGCCATGCCCGACTTTTCGAAGCACGAAGGTGAGGCCTCTGCGACGAGTGCCAGCCGCGCTGCGGAGCCACACCTTCGAGCCGCGTCCCGTCGGCACCGTCCCTGAGTGCGTCCCGCCTTGGCGGCACACACTCTCGACGAGGACAGTCCGGCCTACGGGAACGTGTCGCGCGCCGGCGACGGTTGCGGCGTAGTGGTTTCGAGTACGAAGCAAAGATGGCACGACCACCGCTCTGCATCGCAAACCGGGCAAGGAGGGGCCTGCTCCCGTTCCGCAAGACATGCCACACGCCCCTCGCAAGCGAGGTTAGTAGGCGCCCCTCGCGAGGAACAGGAGGTCTCCCCCCCTCCTCCGGCCTGAGCAGCCACCGGTGGAAGGCAGCCCCTTGAGTCGAGGGCGGCGCGACCATTGCCCTGACTCAAAGACCAGCTAGCTGGCCCGTTCAGTGCCGATGGTCGCGCCGCCCCGCTCCGCCCCGCCCGCCGCCGCGCCGCGCCGCCGCCCGGTGATTATTAATTAATAATTAATTAATAATGAACTAATTACCCCACCCGCCGCCGCGCCGCTCCGCCCTGCGCCGCCCGCTGCCTCGCCGCGCCGCCGCCTCGCGCCGCCCGCCGCCGCGCGCCGCTCCGCCGCCCGAGGATTAATAATTAATAATTAATACCTGATTATTAATAATGTGTGTGTGTGTGTGTGTGTGTGTGTGTGTGTTTGCCTGATGGCAGGGAAATGCAAGGCAGCGGCGAGCGGCAGGTGGCGTCGGCGACGTACTCAGGACACGATGGTGAAGCCCACAGCGCAGGAGCCCCGCAGCAGCGCCGACGGCGGCCCCGCGCCGCGTCGGCGGCGGTCTGAGCGAGGCAGCCTGCACTCCTCAACCTCCTTGGCACTCCCCCGACGAGCGGCGCGCTATGCGGGCCCGCCGCGGGCGACGCGGGCGGCGAGCCGACGTGCGTGCCGCAGTCATAGGCAGCGTTGCCGTTGGCGAAGCGAGGCGGTCGGCGCAGGCCCCCGGATGCGGTCGCAGCGAGAGAAGCGAGGCAGCAGATGCCATAAAAACGGTATCGTCGCGCTCCCTGACGTACTTCATCGAGGGCGCTGCAACGCTCGCCTGCAGCATCGTCGCGCGATGAGTCGAGTGTGTCAAGGAGCGGGTCGCGGCACGTGGTAAGGAAGCTGGACGTCGTTCGTCGGGGGGGGGGGGGGGGGCGCAGACGCCCCGTGAGCACGCCAGAGGGCGCCGCGGCCCGTCCGCACCCGCGCGCCGCCCCGTGGGTTTGCACGGAGGTGGGCCCAGAGTCCCGCGGCAGCAGGGCGGCAGGCGGCAGGGTCGGCTCGCCCCCCGCGCGCTCGCCCCGCGCACGCTCACCCTTCGCGAGGCGGGGGGATTCGCGATTCTGGGCTTGCGCGGCCACCCGGGCCAACCGCCCGCGCGCCCGCGCCCGCAGGTCTACTACGAGAAGCGAAAGAGAAGACAGGAGGAGAAGGCTGCGTCCTCGGCGACTCTGGCGGGCCAGTCGAAGAAGGAGCGGAAGGCGTCCTTCAACAACGGCGCGTCGGCCGTCCGCGCACGCGCGCGCGCTCTCCCCGCGACCCCTCGCTTCCCCCCCGCGCCTCCTCGTCCGCCCCCCACTGCCCTGCCCCGACGCCCCTCGCCTCCGGCTGGGGCAGGCTGGGATGACGAGAACTACGACTACATTGTCAAGAATGGTGCGCCCGCAGCCCCGCAGCGCGACGTGTCGGCGCGCGGCCGGCGCCTCACCCGCTACACGCGCCGCGCGCCGCAGGCGAGCTCTTCAACGAGCGGTACATCGTCAGCACCGTCATCGGCAAGGGCTCCTTCGGCCAGGCGCCACCGCCGGCCCGCCGCCAGCGAGCCCCTCCCTCACGCCTCAGCCGCGAGGCCCTGCGCGCCCGCAGGTGGTCAAGGCGTACGACCAGCGCAAGTCGGAGTACGTCGCCATCAAGATCATCAAGTCGAAGAAGCCCTTCCTGCAGCAGGCCAAGACGGAGATCGAGCTGCTCGAGTTTCTCAACATCAAAGACACGATGGACTCGGCCTGCATCGTGCGGCTGCACGAGCACTTCCTCTTCCGAGGGCACCAGTGCCTGGTGTTTGAGATGCTCTCGTACAACCTGTACGACCTGCTGCGGCACACGGGCTTCAAGGGCGTCTCGCTCAACCTGATCCGCAAGTTTGGCAAGCAGATCCTCAAGGCACTCTGCTTCCTCACGCTGCGCGACGTCTCCGTCATCCACTGCGACCTCAAGCCCGAGAACATCCTGCTGCGACACCCGAAGCGGTCGGCCATCAAGCTGATCGACTTTGGCTCCTCGTGCCGCGACGGGCAGACCGTGTACTCGTACATCCAGTCGCGCTTCTACCGCTCGCCCGAGGTGCTGCTCGGCTGCCCGTACTCGACGTCGATCGACATGTGCGGGACACTCTCCGAGACACCTGGGCACACTTCCGAGTGTTGTGCCCCCTCTCTCCCCACGCACCCTGCCCGCCGCGCCACGCCGCGTCCACCTTTGCAGCACGCCCAGGACGCTCGCCCAGGACGCTCGCCCGCTGACGCGCCCCCCGACGCTCTGCAGGTGGTCGCTCGGCTGCATCCTCGTGAAGATGCACACGGGGGAGCCGCTCTTCTCGGGGCAGGACGAGGCGGACCAGGTGAGCAAGATCTACGAGCTGCTCGGCCCGCCGCCCGCCCACATGGTGCAGTCCGGCACCAAGGGCCAAAAGTACTTTCGCGCCGCGAGGGACGGCTCGTTTGTGCTGCGCGACGCGGCGCGCTCCACCCCTCGCCGCTCGCTCGACGACGTGCTCGGCGTCGAGATCGGCGGGCCGGAGGGGCGGCGCATGGACGAGCCCGGCCACTCGGTGCGCGCGCCCCGCCTCCTCGCCGCACTTCGCCGCCGCCGCCCTCCTGCCCGCCGCCCATGCCCCTTCCGGCCTTCTGACCCTGCCGCCCCCGGACCCTGCAACCCACGTCAGGTGAGCGACTACCTTCGGCTCAAGGACCTCATCATGATGATGCTGGCCTACGACCCGAAGCACCGCATCACCCCCTTCCAGGCCATCTCCCACTCCTTCTTCGGGATGACCGACCTAGAGGTTCAGACGGAGGCCCCGGGCAGCAGCGGCGCCTCGGGCAGGGGCGGGGGCAGCCGAGCGGGCTGAGCCCCCGCAGTAGCGGCGGCGGCGTACCGCGTACACGCAAGACGCACATGTCCATGTCACTGTTGTCGTTGTCGCTTCCTGGGTGCGGGTCTGGCATTTATTCCGGTGTTGCTGGGCGCGTGGCGTGTCACCCCGTGTTTGCTCTGTTCGGCCGCGCGCACTCGCTGCTGTCACGGCGCCCTGGCTTCCCGTGTGTAGTTCTCATGTACACATTGGCCATCCGCAGAGTCCAGAGAGAGAGAGAGAGCGTCGAGTAATTTCGTCCAATAGTACGTGAGCAGCCTTTCCGTATGGCTTGGAGCACTTTGGAGTGCAGTGTCCGTCGCAAGTCGCATATCTCGACGAGATCGAAATAAATAAATAAATAAAACGGACACCTCTACTAGGAGATGGGTAAAAAGGAACAGGTCCCCGCCCTGCGGTCTTTGTGCAGGGTTCCCACAGATCGACATCGACTGCCGACTCGAAATTTCGTTCGAGACTAGGTCCAGCCCTGGGTGGCGCAGGTTGTGACATTTGGCGATTCCGCGACTTACTGGGCCCCTGAGCCGCTACCCGTGTGCGATTTTTTGTGGCCCGGACATGATACTGATAGTAAACGGGTCAGAACCGGCCAAACACAGGCTACAGCCCCACACACGCGCCCGCCATAGCTCCTGGAGAGCATGCGCGAGTGACGCGCTGCAAGCCGCGAGAGTGGCATCAGAGGCAGGAACGACGTGCTCTTGCTGCACCTCGCAGCTGCACCAAGTGTGCTCGCAGTGTATGCCACGGCCACTGCCTGCGGCATTGCTCTCGTGCAGCTAGGCGATGCAGGTCCATCAGCAGGGCTCATCCAATGCGAGCGCACATTGTGCGTAGCCGCGGGCAGGTGGCAGTGCACCACACCGGCTGTGGCGGCTCGAATGCCCCCGGCAGTGCTGCTAGTCATCAACTTGCGTATTAGGGCCGCAGCAGACTGCTGCTGTGGCAGCAGCAGCAGCCTGCTGCTGCCTGATTCAGTCAAGCCAGCGGTGCAGCGAGGCGTGCAGAATTCGCGCGGTTTTGTCCCTCCTGAGGCTGAGCGCATTCGAGCCCGTCGACCGGAGTTGGATGGTACCACGCGTCTCACTGAGACGCGGGGTACTGGCCATGGCCGGGCTACGGAGCGTGAGGTGGCGAGCGGAGCGAGCGACAAAACAACGAGAAAAACACGGATGTGAGGATTGTCACAAAACCTCAGATCTTGCGCCACCCAGGGCTGGACCTAGTCTCGAGTCGGCAGTCGCAGTACCAGTGCCTACCAGTAGCATCGCAGTCGCGAGTCGGTTCGAGAGATGAAAGATGAGTCATGAGAGACGAGTCGCACGAGAGACGCACATACGACACAGTTTCGGCGGCGGGTGTATAAATATACACTATATTGCGAGGATTGCACGAGGTCGGAAAATTCTTTTCTGGCGCCGAATTCTTTAATGTGACTTGTGTGAGAAGTGTTCTGTGTGAGGCGCGCTGGAGGTGCGCGTGCGCGGGCGCGACGAGACGGCACTCGCGAGAGACGGACGCCGGCTCAAGGTCACGCCGCCACGCGGCTCACGCTCGCCACGGCCGCCTCCTGCGAGAGGCGTCGGCGCCGGCCCTCAACGCGCGATCAGCTGACTGCGCGCTCAGAGGCCTCCCTCGCAGGCGGCGCTCGAGGGTGCGGACGCCGTCCTGCTGGCGCGGCCCGCCGCCTTCCGCCGCCTGCCTCCGCGCCTCCTCGAGCTGCCGAAGGATGAGCTGCTGCTGCCGCAGCACCTGCAGCAGCGCGGCGGCGTCCACCTGCTCCTCCGCCTGAGCCGCCTCGTCCTGTCTAGAGCGCCCAGACTCGGGCGTCCGGGCGCGCGGTGCGGCCTTCTCGACGGCGCGACGCGCCTTGAGGCCCTCGTACCGTTCCCGCAGCTCCTGAAGGCTGCCCTGAGGCGGCTCATCTCTCGCACTGTCCTGGAGCACGCTTCCAGCTATCCGCCGGAGGATGCCTGCGTGCTCGAGCTCAGCTCGGCGGCGCAGCTCCGCAAAGGAGGCCTCCAGCGCGAGCGCGGCGGACGCGCTAGCACTGAGGCGCGCAGGGTCGGCGGCGCTGCCGCCGCTCGGCGGCGGGCGGAGCCTCTCGGCTGCGCGAAGCTCTGCCCCGAGCAGCCGGCGCTCGATTCCGGATCGGCGCTGCGCCTCGTCCTGCTCCGCCCGCTGGAGCCAAATGGTTGCGGCCTGAGCGGAGATGTGGGCCTCGAGCGCGAGCTCGCGTGACCGCTGCTGACGGAGAGTTGCTGCGTGGGCCTCTCGGGACTCGGTCAGCGCCGCCTCGAGCGCAGCGTCGTCGGCAGGCGCACTCGTCAGCGCCCGGCGATAAGCGTCCTGCGACGCGTGCAGCGCCGCCGCAGCCTCCCGCCACCGAAGCTCCTCGAGCGAGGTCATTCGGCGGAGGAGAGAGGCACACAACGCACAGCTCCAAAGGGGCGCGAACGCGTAGAGAGAAATCTAAGCGGCCTTTCTTTTGGCGGGCAACACGAGACGGGGCGCAAGCGCGGGAAGGGTTGAGTGCTTGATGAATCAGTGCTTGATGCATCATGACAAAGGAGTTAATGCTATGGGAACGCGGAGAGAGAAAAATGTGGGGGCAGCCTTGTGAATCTCGAGACCTCGAGAGAACACCGTCCTCCCATCCCTCCCTTGGGTTGTCTGTTTTCTTTCTTTCTTTTTACCTCGAGAGAAGACCGCCCCGCAGGCCTCAGGGCGGGAAGGGTTGAGTGCTTGATGAATCAGTGCTTGATGAATCATAAAGAAAGAAAGAAAACACACAACCCAAGGGAGGGATGGGAGAACGGCACGCCGCCACCACACAGGGATTTTAAGGAGAGGAGTGTGATGCGCTAGCCGTCGCCCACCCTGGGGAGTCTGCCTCTTCGTATCTCTTTTCGCAGTCTCTCGCCGCTTCTCGCTGCAACCTTCATGCCACCTCGCCATCATGACAGGAGTAGGTCAAGCTTAGGATTCTTCTTCGTTGCTCCGATCACGCTGGTCGCCCGACGAGCGTCGCTCCCAGGTCCCCGTTCAGTCCACCATCTCTCCGACGCTGCTGCCTGTCCTCGCCGCCGCTGCACTCTTGCTTCCCAGGATGCAGGCCGACGCGGCGAGCCTGGACCCGATCACAAAGAAGCTGCTCGCCAGCCCCGGATTGGAGCTGTCGCCGGCCGAGTCGCGAGCCTGCCTCGTGCGCTGCATTGCGCACGGCGAGGCTGTCGCGAGTCGGGCCGCCGGCAAGCGGATCGTGGTTGTGCTGGGCAACACCGGCGCTGGAAAGTCGGCCTTCATCAACTATCTCCACGGCTGCAAGTTTCAGTACGAGGAGGAGGACAAGATGGTCGTGCGCGACGACTCCGAGCTGGAGGAGCTGATGCGCATCGGCCACACAAACAGGTCGGAGACCTTCTCTCCCCAGGTGGAGGATGCGACCGATAGCCTCGGGAGCGGCTTCGCGTACGCCGACTGCCCGGGCGTCCCTCGACAGCCGCCGGCCTCGAGATCGGCGAGGAGGACGCTCACCCGAGCCTGCCCGGAGGTAGGCTTTCTCGACAACCGCGGCTTCGAGATCAACGTCGCCAACGCGGCCAACGTCAGGCACACCGTCTGCGCGGCGTCGAGCGCGGTCGTGGTTGTCGTGGTCAACTATTACTCGCTGCGCGCCGACCGCGGCAAAGGCCTGCACGACCTGCTCCGGATCCTGCTCAGTCTGTTTGGCTCGGTCGAGCAGGTCGAGGCGCACGCGCCGTCGGTGCTGCTCGCAATCAGCCAGGCGCCAGTGACGCACCCGGAGACGGGCGCCGCCATGTCCATCGAGCGGTACATGCGCACCCTCCTCAGCCCCTCCGGCCTCGACACTGCGACCGGCGAGGTGCAGCACGCAAACTCCCAACTGGTCTCCTGCAATCTCAGTGCAATCTCCGGGCGAGCTCCGTGCAATCTCGGTAGGTGCTGCACGCCCTCTCCGGCCGCGTGTGCGTCTTCCACCTCCTCGGCCGCGGCGACTCCTCGTGGCTGACCCGCGACGCCCTCCTCGAGCGGGTGCCGAGAGACTCCCGCCGCCCCTCGGAGCGCGCGATGATTCCACCGTGCGTTGTGCTTCCAGGTGCGAGGCTTGCCGCCCATCGGCACACCGTCCTCGCTCTTCCAGTCGGTGATCGGCAGCGAGATCTGCGAGCGAGATCGCTCGAGATCGCCCACCCGATCCCATGCCCGAGGCAGGTGCTCGGCAGCGAGGACCGGGAGCGGCTCCGCGCGCTCATCGCCGCGCTGGGGAAAGACTTGCGCGAATGCCTCTCGCGCTGCGAGCTGAGAGTTCGGGGGCAGCTCGGGGCAACCTCGGCCGCCGGCTTCGGGGAGGCGACGCTGCTGGAGGCCGAAGCTGCTGCAGCTAGACCCGTCCGCGAGCCTTCTCGGAACCTTCCTCTAGGCGGCGCGGCTGGCGGCCGAGCTGCTCGAGCTGCGCGTGGTGGAGCACGGGTTCGTCTCGTCGCTCGTCGAGGGCGAGGCCGTGCTCGCCGCCTCCCCCCCTCTCTGAACCCTGTCGGAGCTCTGCTCCAGCCGCCGACTCGTGCCTCCTTAGGTGCTCGCCGCCGCCCGGGAGTCCGTCGCCTCGCAGGCGAAGTCCGTGGGCAGCACTGACGCTCGACGGCGTCGGCGAGTGAATTGGTGACTCGTTGATGGCCAGGTGGCACCGGTGGACGCCCTCTTCCTCGACGGCGGCTTGGACGGCGGCGACGACGCGGCTGACGGCGAGACGTTCGACGAGGACGCGTCCCAAGAGTTTTCCCCGAACCTTCTCAGACCCTTCCCGTAGGCGAGAGGCTCGAGGAGGCGCGTGGGGCGCTGCGCGGCGTGGGCGAGCTGCTGACCGCGTTCGCAGGCATCGACGTCGTGCGCGAGCCGCTGCAGGCGCGGGACATGCTTCGAGCTCTCACCTCGAGACCAACGAGCGCCGGATGACTTGCCTCGTGCGGGTTCCCTCTGCAGGCGCTGGTGGCGCAGGCGGAGGCGAGGCTCGCGAGTGCAGAGGAGCGGCGTGCCGAGGCGTGCGGCGGGCGGGGGGGATGGGGCGGCCATGTCCATGACACGTCCACACGAGTCGCCCGCGGCATGTCCCATAGGCGCGCGGCAGGCGGGAGATGGCGGCGGCGCTGCAGCAGACGCTCCGCACGGTGGGGGCGCACGCGCTTGGCGAGGAGTGCAACGTGGAGCCACCCAATCTCGGTGCATCTCGGGCACATCTCGATAAGTGCGGGTAGGCGAGGAGTACAACGTGGTTCGCGAGGTGCTCGCGCTCCCTCGCGCGGTAGCGGCGGCGAGGGAGGGGCAGGCGCGGCGGCAGCGCGCGCTCGAGAGGGCGCACGCGGAGCAGCTGGGCGCGCTGGGCGAGAGCGGGGTCGCGGTCCGGCGGAGGGAGGCCGAGGATAGGCACGCCGCAGAGAGGTGGAGGGGCCGGGTACGCCCCGCTTCGGCGCCGGAGGAGCCGTCGGTGAAGTTTCTTGGAGCGTTTCCTTGGTGTAGGCGCGAGGAGGTGCTCCGCTCCGCCGCTGCAGACGCGGCGTGGGAGGCGCACATCGCCGCGGCAGCGGACCGGCTCCGGCGAGGAGAGAGGAGGCGGCGCCGTGCAGGGAGGCAGGCGCGCTGAGGCTGGTCTCGCGTTTGGGCAACAGGCGGAGAGACGTGGACTTGCTGCAGCGCGAGGAGGGGAGGGCGGGCGGTTTTTGGGAAAAGGCGGGCCACGTCCGGCTAGACTTACAGACGTTTGCAAGACGAGCCGGCTAGAGACGCGTGCAGCCGGGCCGCAGCTGCCACTCCGCCCATAGATCCCCTCTCCGGCCGCTTTCCGCCGCCCCCTGACCCCCCCCCCCCCCGCTTCCCGCCCACCCCTGCCTACCCGCAGGTGGGCCAGGGCGGCCAGGCTTTGCGCGCGTCCGCGCCGCCCGCGTTTGTGGACCTGTCGAGGAAGGGGCTGACGCCGCGCGACCTCGACGTGGTTGCGACGCTTCTCCGCACCCTCCCACCGCTTGCGGACGTCCGGGCGCTGGCGCTGAGCGGCAACGGATTTGCCGACGCCGGCGCCTCTGCGCTCGCCGACGCGGGGGCACATGGCGCGTTGGCGGCTCTCGAGCGGCTCTTCCTCGACAACGTGGGGCTGGCGGACGGCGCGTGGCGCGCCGCCGCCGCTCTGCAGGCCCCCTCTTTCGGAATTTTCTCAGGCCCTTCCTACAGGCGGGCTGGCCGAGCTGGCCGCCGCTCTGGCCGGTGGAGCGATGCCGCGGATCCACTTTGTCGACCTGACGCGAAACGGCATCGGGGACGGCGGCGTGGCGGCGCTGGCGGACGCGATCCGAGGCGGAGCACTGCCGCAGCTGCAGACCCTCTACCTATACAACAACCGGGTTGGCAGCGCCGGGCTCGCCGCGCTGGTGGATGCTCTCTGCGCCTCCGGTTGCAGGCTCGAGAAGCTGTACGTGGACAACAACCAGGTCGGAGAGGCGGGCGTGGCGGCGCTCGTGAGGGCGGTCGAGGGCGGGCACTTGCGGTCGCTCCGGTCGCTCCACCTCTCGGGCAATCCGGCGCCTGCGGACTTGGTGCAGGCTGCCGTGCAGGCTGTCGAGGGCCAGGCGGCCGGCGACGCCCCGCGCAAGCGCCCGGCGCCGCAGACGCGTGATATAGAGGCGCCCCCGGTGGACTAAGCGTCGTGCTCTTGGTACACGCGGGTCTCTTGCGCGCGAAAACCGCAGTAGGTTTTTGTCTTCTCTTCTGTCCAGGGTGGGGAGAGGAGAAGAGCCCAGGGAGGGGGGAGGAGAAGAGCCCAAGACGGCCTCCCTCTCCCTCCCCTCCCACCGGGCCTCCCTCTCCCTCTCCTCCCACCGGGCCTCCCTCTCCCCCTCCTACCGCCAAGCACCGACAGTCTCGAGGGGCCAGCCGCTGGAAGGGGCAAGCCAGGGGCACGAGGGCTTCAACCACGCAGCTACCATACCAAGGGAACGCGACCCACACAAAGCACCAAAGTTAGGCATACCCCCCGGCGCAGTGTCCCCCGCTATGTGTCGCCGTTTGTCGGGGCACGCTATCCTGTGTAGTCAGGGCAAGTGGGGGCGGGGTGGACAGCCCAGGCCAGATGCCCTGGGATCTCTCTGCCCAGTCCGGGGGTGCGTCGAACCTTCCATCACCCTGTCGGAAGCGGCGTGCCGGTGGAGGCACGTCCGGGTTTTGGAAGTAAAGATATATTACTTTTTGTCTTCTCTTCTCGTGTGCGGACTGTGGACATGCGCCGAGGCTCTCTGGTCTCTCTCCCCGCAGACCGCGCCGCCCTGACGGAGAGCTGTCGCAGCCAGCGCTGGCTGTGCCTGCCCGCTGCCGCGCAAGCCGTCAGTCCCTCTTTGTGCCCCCTCCCAGCCGCGGGATGTCATCGGCAATGGCGTAGAGAAAAGTGCCGGCGATGGCGATGGCGCACCCGACCGCCTTTGGCCGGTCCATCTGCTCGCCAAACGCGACGGCGGAGCCGACGATGACGACGGCGCGCTTCGCCGTGTTGGCGACCGAATGGCCGACGCCGGAGAGATGCCGCAGCGCTCGCGTCGAGACCTCGTCGTAGGGGCAGGGGGTGGGGTGCAGCCGAGGTGCAGCCGAAGTGCTGGCCGAGGTGTGGCCGAAGTGTGGCCGAGGTGCAGCCGAGGTGTGGCCGGGGTGTGGCCGAGGTGCAGCCGAGGTGTGGCCGAGGTGCAGCCGAGGTGTGGCCGGGGTGTGGCCGGGGTGTGGCCGGGGTGTGGCCGAGGTGTGGCCGGGGTGTGGCCGGGGTGTGGCCGGGGTGTGGCCGGGGTGTGGCCGGGGTGTGGCCGGGGTGTGGCCGGGGTGTGGCCGGGGTGTGGCCGGGGTGTGGCCGGGGTGTGGCCGGGGTGTGGCCGGGGTGTGGCCGGGGTGTGGCCGGGGTGTGGGCGCCTCGTTGTAGAGGTAGAAGAGGAGCCCCGAGAGCACGGCGTTGAAGCGCAAGCCTAGGAGCAGGAGCAGACAGCCGAAGAGTCCGGTGAGAGGGCTGGGGCCACAACGCCTGGGCTCAGTCACTGTTGAAGCCCCGAGTGCCTGACACTGCGTGTGTACTTAGCATCTAGGGCCGCGGGCCGCCGCCCTCCCCCCCGTCCGCGCGCCACAGCGCGACAAACTCGCTCCGCCTCTCGTACTCGCCTAGCGGACACGTCCGGGACGCGTCGAGCGGACGGGTGCCACAGTGCTCTCGCCGCGCTCCTTCTCGTGCTCTCCCGTGGCGAAGATCGCGGGCAGCAGGAGCAGGGCGGCCTGGAAACAGGGTGTGAAATCAACGCGACAAGGCCGTGAAGAGCGGGTGGGAGAAGGGCGGCGGCCCAGAGCGTCGTCACGCCGTACGCGTTCCCCTCGCCGCCGAGCGCCGACTGCAGCTCTCCCGCCATCACGCGCTTGTTCTCGCAGCCGCGGAAGGCGGCCGCGAGGTTGGCGAGGCTGACGGCGGCGAACGAGGCGAGTGTGTAGTCGAGTTCGGTGGCAGAGGCGATGGCGATGCCTCCGATCACCGGCACGAGGCACAAGAGCTTGCGCCACGAGACGCCGTTGCGATAGACGCCGTAGCCGACGGCCGCGGCGAAGGCCGGCTCGCCCGCCTTGACGATTTGCGAGAAGGAGAGGCTGCCGGCGAGGTTGGCGTATATCGCGCTGCCGTGCGCGACGGCGGTGACGAGTCCGAGCGGGAGCAGCCGCAGCGCCTGGCTGGCAGAGAGGGCCGGGCGCTGTCGCAGGCCCAGCACCCAGAGCGACACCACCCAACCGGAACCGATGACGAGCTGCAGCGACGCGAGCGTGAATGCAAAGGCCGCGCCACCGCTCGCGATTCCCGCTGCCTTGTTGAAGATGTTGAAGTAGTAGTTGCCGACGTACCACAGCAGCAAGTAGACGACCACCGCGGCCTCCATGCGTGCTTTTGAAATCGAGTCGATGTGCTGCGCAACAACGAGCGGCCTTTACGAGCGGCAAGCGCAAACACCAGGCGCGCAAAGGGAAGAAAAAGAAATGCCGTCGCGGAGACGACCGCGAGGTGGCATGAAGGTTGCAGCGAGAATTGGAGAGGGACTGCGAAGAGAGATAGGAAGAGGCAGACGCCCAAGGTGGGCGACGGCTAGCAACACACCTTCCTTAAAGAAAGAAAACTTTTACATACATACAACCCAACGAGCTCTCACCACAACGCTGCAGCCCCGGTACAAGCACGCACATTTGGACAGGGTAGTTGCCCCGGTCCCACATGGAGCCCTTCTTGCTTGGCACGACACAGTCCCAATGGTACAGATCCTGCGCGCCATCAGCAGTCGTGCGCGGCCTGGTGACAAACCCCTAAAGCGGCAACGTGGGTGTCGTGGAGCCACGGGCTCGTCGGCGCCGGCGGGCGAGCGTCTGTCGCGCGTGTGGGTGGTCGCGTCGCCAGCGCTTGCGTTCCTCCTGCAGGCGTCCGCGCGCGATGTCTGACATATGGCCACAGGCTGTTCCTCTTCGCCGCATCTCTCTCCCAGTGTGGGCACAATAAGAAGAATTTTACCCGAGAAGACGCCCTCGCAGGCCAAGCGAGTACGTCTCATGTGGGGTCGGAGTCGTTGTCGTCTGGTCCGCTGTGGCTCCTACCCGCTATTAAAGTCTCAGCATCCCCTGAGCTCACCTCGTGCTGCCTCCTGTAAACACTTTCACCTTTTTTGCCGCGTCACGGAAGTTGTCTGCTAGTGGGATTTTTTGGAGGTGGAGGTGGAGGGGGAGATTTTGTGGAGGTGGAGGGGGAGATTTTTGGGGAGATTTTTGCGACCGGGTGGGAGATTTTTGCGACCGGGTGGAGCGCTGGGATTTCTTTTTTTTGGCGCAGCGTGCGTCGAGCTCGGTGATGCCCATGGCGGTGTACGGCATGTTTTGGGAGAGGAGCATCTTCGCGACGAGCCGCTGCCACTTGCGAGGGCGGGCAAAGGAGGCGTTGTCGATGGAGAGCATGACGTCGAGCTCGGCGATGCGGCGCTGCAGCGTAGCCTAGGATGGGCGGGCGGCGGCGTGGGCATAGCCTAGGAGGGGTGGGTGGCGGCGGCGTGGGCGTAGCCTGGGAGGGGCGGGTGACGGCGGCGTGGGCAGAGGCGAGGGCGAGCGAGGGCAGAGGATGTGAGGGCGTCTCAGGGGCGGGGGCGGCGGCATGGGCGGCGGCGGCGGCGGCGAGGGCGAGAGCGAGGGCGGCGGCGAGGGCGGCGGAGGGGCGGGAGGAGGCGGCGAGGGCGGCGGAGGGGCGGGAAGAGGCGGTGTGGGCGGCGGCGGTGAGGGCGAGAGCGAGGGCGGAGGAGGCGAGGGCGGCGGAGGGGCGGGAGGCGGCGTGTGGGTGGTGGAGGCGAGGGCTAGAGTGAAGGCGGAGGAGGTGAGGGTGGCGGTGCGTGACGGAAAGCGAGGCGCGCACGACCTGGCGGCGAAGGGCGCGCTTGAGCAGAAAGTCCATCATGGCCTGTGAGCGAATGAAGCCCTGCTCGCGCAGCCCGCTGCGCATTTCCATGCTCGCGAGCGGCACCTTGTCGCACCAGTCTAGCAGCGCGCGCAGACGCGCGTACGAGGGCGCCGCTTTCTGCGAGCCGATCCGCAGCAAGTGCACGAGAGGAATGATCGAGAGGGAAAGCCGATAGCCCCGGTCACGCTTCTGTGCTCTGCGTGACGGTCGCGGCGGCGCCGCGCTCGCCTCCGCCGGCGCCGGCGACGGCGAGGGTGCCGGGGACGGCGTCGGCGTCTCTGCCCTCGCCGCCGATGGCCCGCCGCCGGCAAGAATCCCGCTGGCCGAGTGGGTGCTCGGCCTCTCGACCGAACAAGCCGCCTCCATTGCCGACGAGGTGGCGACGAGTCAGCTGCGCCTCCCGCCCTCGGACGGGTACGAGCTCACGCGCCTCGGCGGGCCGGATCCGTACCACCTCGACCCCAAGCTCATACCGGCGGAGCGCCTGCTGCTCCTCCTCGAGGCGCTGCCGCTGCTCAGGGGCGACACCGCGGGGAGCAAGAGGACGCTGACGCAGAGCGCAAGCACCGCGCCGAGGCGGTTGGTGTCCGTCGCCGCCGCCCTGGCTGCCCACGCAGGCGGGTATCGCTGCGGCACGCCCGATCCGCAGTGCAGTCCCGCCGCTGGGGTGGACTGGGCGGCCGCCCTGGCCGCTTTTGATGGCGATCGGGAGCTCCCGCAGCACTGGAAGCTGCGGCCGCACCGGGAGAGGCTGGAGGGGCCGAGGCTCGCGTCGACGCACTGCTCTGGCGCCACGTACATGGGCGGCCCAAAGGCGGAGCCGCGGCCGCCGCTGGGCACACCCGCCGCCGTCGCCGCCGCCACCGCCGACGCCGACGCCGACGCCGACAGCAAGGCGCAGCCGCTGCCGACGCCGACCAGCGAGGAGTACACGGTCGGGTGCGTGCTCGAGGCGTGCGAGGAAGCGCTCCACAGCCTCGAGTCGGCGGCGGTGAACTTCCTCTCGCCGGTGGCGCATGAGCCCCGCGGACGCCCACGTCGCCGCGAACACTACCCTCGACGAGAGCACCGCCACCGGCGCCGCCCGCGCCGCCGCCACGGAGCAGGCGGTCCTCAAGCTGCACTTCGACCTGAACGACTTTGCGGGCCACAACCCGCTTGTGAAGGGCCAGGCGAGTATGACCTCCGTCTTCGCCGACTCCCTCTCCGACCCACACGGCGGCACCGTTCTCCTCCTCTCTGGCGAGAACGGCAAGACGGGCAAGAAGGTGGACTACCCGCTCGACGCTGACGGAGGCGTGGTCGCGAGCAGCAAGGCCGCCACCGGCGAGGGCCGCGCCAGCCGGCTCGTCGTCAACCCGTACGAGGGCGGCGGCTCCTACTTCCGCGCTTTCCTCGGGCCTGGCGGCATCCTTCACGGAGGCCTCCCCCTCGCGGCGCGGAAAAAGGGACTTCTTCTCGAGTCTTGCGTGTCATCCATGCGCTGGGGCCATGCTAATCTTCTCTGTATCGTTCCAAGTTTAACGGATGCTTGCAGAGCAAGTCCGCTGTAGATCAGTGCCCCCCTTGCCTATATCTCCCCCCTGCGGTGCTTGCCCCAGTGGCTTGTGGCTCACGGCTCGGCCCACTACGGCCCACCATCAGCCGCACTCGCCCCACCCCGTTCCTCCCGACCTCGCCTCGCCGCCCCCCACCCCGCCGCCGCCCGCACCCCTCCTCAAGACCTCCTCGCGCCGCCGCCGCCGTCGCCGTCGGCAAAGCATGCACCTCCACTCACGCCCAGCACGCTCCCTCCAGCGTCGCCGCCGCCGCGCCCGCCGCCGCCAGCCCGCGCCGCTTCTCTCGTCCTAGGCTCGAGGCTGGCTGCGCTGGGGACTACGGCCTCGCAACACGCCTCTCGCCGCCCGTCTGACGCCGCACTCAAGCAGGCGGGGTGGCACTGCCAGCGCCGCCGCTGGCTGCGAGGCTGTGCAGCCGGGTTGTGCTCTCACAGCCCGTTTGGGTGCCACGCAGAGCGCCGCCCGGCATAGAGCAGGCGCAATGGGGTGCCAGCCACCCTCGCCGTCTGAGGAGCCGGGCATGGCGCGCATCGCCGCGGTGGCGATGGAGGGCGTCTCGCTGGCAATCACGGCCTCGCGGTCCTCCTCCTGCGGTACTCCTCCTCCACTCGATGGGACTCAAGAGAAGGGGTGCAAGCGGCGCCGGCGCAAGCGGCGCAGGCGGCTCGGAGCAGCTGCCGCTCGCGGAGCAGCCTTCCGAGCGCTGCTTGCGGGTACACACGGGCTATGAGCGTGTCTCGCCACCGCAGACCTCAAGATGAGGCCCACCACCTCTCGAAGCTGCGTCCTAGGTCGGCCGAAAGCCCTCCCGGCCCATGGAGAGCGGTGCGAAACGCCGGCGAGAGGGGGAGAGAGTAAACACGGTTGTGTACGTATGTGTGTGGAGTGTCGTACACATCACTCTCGCGTCGTGTAACAGCCAACACAGGTGGCGGCACAACGGGCATCCAAGAGAGAACTCCGCGTGACAAGAAGACGACCAGATGTGCGCGCGCCTCGCTCCACATACACGTAGTCTTCTGGGTCGCCGAGGCTCCAGACCACCCGCAAGAACAAGCGTCTACACACATCTCCGACTCACACATTCACCCGGCTCTGGGCGCCCACATTCGCCTCCCGGTGCGCCGCCGCCTTGCGCAGGAGCGTCTCGACCGCCGGCGGCAGCGCCACGCCGAGCAGGACGCCCTCGAGGGTGAACTGGCTCATGATGAGCGCCGCCTTCGCAGCGGGCGCCGCGTTGGCGAACGGCGTGCCGACGAGCTGCTCCGCGAGCCGCACCTCGTCAGCCATCGCCACAAAAAGCAGCTGGTCGACGAGCCGGCCGCTGAGCACGAGGCACAGCAGCGGGAAGCGCAGCGCGCGCCACAACAAGGCGCTGCCGAGCTCCTACCACAAGAGGCGGCCACCGTGGCTTTTGTGTTGCTGTCGCACCACAAGTCCCACCGACGAGCGCCTCCCAGCAGAGCCAGCAGATGAGAAAGGCTGCTAGCGTCGGCTCGATGTACGTGACGGCGGCGATGGTGTTGACCGTCTCAGGATAGGGCGGAGAGAGCATGCCCGCCTCATCGGGAGGACCAAAGTGCTCCGCGAACCACGACTGGACATGCTCCACGCAAAGCGCCGTCAGGCCCAACTGCAGCTTGCGGAAGGGATAGCCGCCGGCGAGCATGAGGATCGTCCCCTCCTCCGCGTGCAGCATCGACGACACCTTGGCGCAGGGACCGGCAAAAGGTGTAGAGTCGAATGGCTCGATTCGAGAGGGTTCTGGCGCGGCCCACCAGCGAGACGGCAAAGGTTGCCGCGGCGAGAGCGAGAATCATTGGCAGGCACATGCCCGACCATACTAGGCCGAACTTCTTGTCTGTCACGTAGCCCGCCGACATGGGGAGGCGAATCAGCATCTCCTACTTTTCGATGATGGTGCTGGGAGCGACACGTGCGGCGCTGTGGGTCGCCCTGGCTGCTGCGCCTGGCTCATGATCCCCATCAGAAGCACAAACACGTGGCGCTTCGAGAGGCTCCAGCCGGGACGGCAGCGCCGCAGCGCCCGGTCGAGCCACAGCAGACCCACGAGCAACATGCCGTCCCGCAGATAGTACCGAGACTCCGGGTCGTCCCAGCAGCTGTCAGGCGCCGCGAGGCGCGAGGTGTGAATGAGCCGCGAGCGGGGCGGGAATGCGAAAACGAGGCGCACCAGCCATAGTGTGGAACCCCGGCTCCCAGCATGCGAATGTGGATGTTCTCTGCGAGCGCCTGCGGCATGCAGCGAGGGCCACTCATCGTCGGCTGCTCCATTGTGGAGGCGCGTAAGCGAGCGCGCGCGCACTGCCACGAGGAAGAGGTAGAGGACCAACGTCGCCTTCCCGGCACAAGGCACATCACTCCATCCAACGATAGCTGGCGGTGCGATTTGCTCCAGCCACGATTCACTCACAACAGGAGAGGCGCAGATCGCACCAGATTTGGTCTGCATTGCAGACCCTCGAATCGCACCGCACTAGCGTCCGTCTGTCACCCTGCGCGCGTCTCGCATCCATCCGAGCCGCGACGGAACAATTGCGCGCGTCCCATCGGGGCGGTGCCCAGCAGCCGTGAACGGAGTTACCTGTGATCTGAGTCAGTTCGCCATGCCAGTACGCCCAACCCATGTGCATGCACAGCGACGAATTCATCGCCGACATGCCAAGTTCACTCCCCATCCTCCCCATGCATGCACAACACCCCCGCCCTAGCTAGGATCGATCGATGCCCCCTCCCTCCCTCCGCCAAAAACCTGAATCAAAGCCGACGCCTCGAGCATTCCGCGGTCCGCCGCCGCCATGCCCGACGCACACAGCCGCTTCTGGAAGCGAATCCGCCGGACGCGAGCCCTGGCCGCCCGTGGCGCTGTGGGAGGAGGATCGCCGCTTGGTTGGGGCCCTCTCGCCACCATCAATCATCTCCTTGTCCCTACCCGCTGCCTTTCGGGTTGACGGTAAACGAGCGTGCCCAAAAGAAATGCGGCGGGGCTCACTTACTTACTCACGATTTGGGGGGGAAGCACCATCCGCGCATCGGCTTTTTAGTCAGAGCTCATCAGTACATCACTATCAGCCCGCGAGGCTTGCGTGCCGTGACCTGCGTGCGGAAAAAAGGTCGAGCGTTTTGTCACAGGCACGAGGCACGTGGCAGGCGCGTTGCTGGAAACGGTGCAGCACGAGGGCAAATTTTAGACTTCTACTGTCGAAACACTTCGACTGTCGATGACTATAAAGTAGTAGAGCCGCGTAGGGATCCTAGGAGAGGGCGAGAGCAGAGGTGTGTTTCGAGATTCGACACCGAGTGAGGAAATTTGAAATACAGTGCTGATTAGGGAAACAGTCTGTGATTACTGTGAAAGGCTTCTGACATCTGAGTTGCACATTGCAGCGATTTCACACCTCGCGCCGCTTCCGACTAGCGACTTCCGATGCGCGATGGGCGATGCGCCCAGCCGCCTCGACGCTCAATCAGAGAGTACTCTCCTCGCTACTTTATCCCGGTTCCACCGCGGCACCGCGCTCTGCGCCCGATGCAGTGCGGTGTGCGTCCGTGCCGTTGTCCATTGACCATTGACAACAACCCAACCCGCCCACAGGCACAGCCACGCACACAGACAGCTGCAGGTCATGCAAAACGGGCCCTGAGTGTTAGCGAAACGCGTACACCGGCCCGGCGGGCTCCCGACCGGAGCCCGTCCGGAGGCCACAAACGGACACTCTACCGACATTTGCACCCCTAGACAACTCACCCCTACTAGCATACGGTGTCGGCCCGACCACCCTGCGGCCCCAGCTACCAGCTGGCGCCGCTCGGCCCGGCTGGAGGCGCCTGGGGAGTCCAAAATCGCGGAGCCGGCGACGTCCTCCGGCCAGCAGCCGGATCGGGCGTCCGACCCGCCCCCTCGGCGACCCGATATGGTCTCCCCGACCCCCGAGGCTTGGCGCACCGCGGGAGGGGGGCAGCCCAGCCACCCTGCACCGCCCAGGCCGCCCTCTGCGAGCCCAGGCGCGCCGTCGAGAGTGCCGACGCGATGTCGACGATTTTGGCCTGCGAGACGGGGGCGAGGAGTGGTGTGAGGGCGCCATGTGCCCGGGCGACGGGCTAAGGGGCCGCTACACGGGCCGCAGAGCTTACCAGCGCCGGCGCGGTGGCGCTGGTAGCGATGGTGCTGCTTGTGGCCGCCTTTGGCAGTACCTGACCGAGGCTGACTCGCGACGGCGACGGGGCGGCGAGCCGGGTGGCGAGGTGCGCGGGGAGGAAGGAGGGGACGCGCCGCGAGAGGCGGGGAGGGGCGCTCTCACGTCTGGCTGGCCCGCCCCGACCCCCACGGGGTCGGGATGGTCGATGATGCTGCTCTAGGCGGTCGTCCCGGGTCGCCAGACCGGTCCTGCGGCGGAGTCGGAGGGTGAGGGGCAAGGCCAAGGGGCACGCCGTGCGGCGGAGGGGACGCGCATCGCGCAGCTCGCAGCAGCCCGAGAGGGCCCGAGCCCGGCCAGGGAGTTACCCACCGCTCGGGCCGAAGAGACAGCGTCGCTGGAGCTCGCCCCGCGGCCATTTTGTACGCCCGATGCACGCCTGGCCCGGGAGGCCGAGGGGGGAGGGGAGGTCAGAGAGACGCGGCGGGCCGGGGAGAGAAGGGACGCGCGCGCCTTCGAGTACGCACTCGCGGTGCCGGCTGGCTCGCAGGGGCCGCCAGCGCCGCTACGGAGGCGCTGCCCGCCGGGAAGGTGCTCGGGAGGGGCGCTGGTTGCGCCCCGGCGGCGCCTGCGGCCGGAGGGACGTGGGCTTCGGCGTGGCGAGCAGCGCGGGCGAGAGAGGGACGGCGCGCGGCTCCCAAACGAGCCGCACGGGCTTCGTCTGGGCCGCCGAGGCCACCACCTTGGTCGCGGCGGCGGGCGTGAAGGCGAGGTGGGCCGAGGCAAGCGTCAGACGTGCCGCCTTGCGCCCCTGAGGAGGGACGAGTGCGTGGGGTGCCACGGGCGGGGGGGGAGCGGTGAGAGGAGAGCGGTGGGCACCCCCACGAGGGGCTGCGCCGCCTGCCCCCCCGAGCCCGCCACTGACGCTGTGGGGGCGGCACGATCGAGCGCGCTGGTCGGGCGGGCCGTCCGAGTCGCCCGAGCGGTGCTCTGCCGGCCGGCGGACGCGCGCGAGGGTGTGGCCCGAGAGGGCTCAAAATACGGAACCGGTACCCGGCCGTCCCGGACGCCTGGCACGCGGAGCGATGGCCCGGCCGTCCTGGGCGTGGCTGGAGCGAAGGGGGGAGAGCTCAGGAGGGCGACGGGGCAGGGAAGGGGGCGGTGATGGCGGTGCGGCGGGGTCTAATCGGCGGCGTGGAGAGAGGAGGTGCCAAAAGGCGACTATAAAGAGGCCTCTACTGGTGATATAGTGCGCCATGACGGCGGAGAGATCTCTCCCGCCGCCCCGCGGGCCGCCTCGAGGGGCCGTGCAGCCCACGCCCTCAGGCGCCGCTGTCGCGGGCAGAAGCGCAGCCGGGAAGGTGTCTCGGCCGCATCTAGAGGGAGCCAACCCGGTCGGGTAGGGGAGGCAAGCGCGAGCGGGTGGAGGGCAGTCTCGACCCACCTACGGCGTTGTGCTGTTGGAGGATATGTGGGCGACCTTCCTTTGCATCAGGAGCGTCGCCGCGCGCCGCCGTCGCCCGCCGTGTGCTTCTTTGCCGGTGAGCGCGCGGCGACACCTATCGTCAGAGGGGGGGAGGGTGAAGCGCGAGCGTTTCGTCGACCTAGGAGCCGCGGCAAGCGGCATGTAGCCCACTGATAGCCCCGACCCAGGCCTCGTAGCTTCAGATCCCGAGCGCCGGGTCGAGATAGCCGTCGCGAGACCAGGATTCAGGGTCGCGGGCGGTCAGCAGTCCGAGTCGAGTCGAGCGCCTAAATCAACGTACCTAATTATTAGCAGGTACCTAAAAATTAGCTTGTTATTAGCTTGACTCGCGTTATTAGAGCCTAATAAGCACCTAATACGCGCTGTTATTAGCCTAATGAGCACTGTTATTAGCCTAATAATTAGCTTGTTATTAGCTACTCGCGTTATTAGGTACCTGCTAATAATTAGGTACGTTATTTATTAGGCTAATAGTTTGATAGTGTGGGCTCGATGCCGGGCGAGCGCAGCGCCCTCCAGTTGGAGCGGCTCGGGCGAGCGAGGCGGTGGCGCTATGGGCGTTTAGAGGGGCGCCCATCGCTTCTCGCAACTCCGCAACGCTGACTTTGGCACATCGACGATACACCGGTCACCGCTCGCTTATTTCTGAGATTTATTTTGCATGACCTGGGTGCCACATATAGATACACACACCTCTAGAGGCTGCCGGGCCCAGAGCCGCAGCCCTAGACCCAGCCAATTATTACACTCAGGACGCCACAGTGCCGGTGCGCGGTGCATACTGTACTCTGTAGCTAGCTCTCGCGCGCTCGCCTCGCTTTTGCTGCCCACGACGCCACCCTTCACGCGGGACGCGGCGTCCGCCGCGCGGTGGGCACCCTCGTCATGAATCGCCAGTCCTCAATCCCCTTGCTTGCCCCCGCGTACGTCCCGTGACATTTGGCCCATATGTGTGTGACATTTTGCAACTGGTACTGTGACATTTCAACCGCAAATGGGACCCGGATGGGACCGGAACGAATATTGGGACCCGGGTCCCACTGGGACCCAGGCGCTCTCCTGCCGCTGGCGTGCTCCGCCGACCCCGACCGTCGGCGCTGCACGTGAGGCATAGCTACCCCAACGCCCTGCGAGCTCACACCAACCCGCAAACGTGCAGCTAGCTAATCAGTCTTAGCCCTGCGCTCCCTCTGCGAGGGCCGCCAGGGCCGCCAGATCGGCGGGCGGGGCCCAGCCACGCCGCCTCGCCGCGCCGCCGTCAGCGGGGAGCTCCCCGACGGCCTCGCTCCAGCCGATGCTCGCGGGGAGCGAGTTGCCGTCGAGCACGATGCCGTCCCGGTCGAAGACCTGTTCACGCACGGGCGGGGTGTGAAAAGAGGCGCTGGCTGCTTCCAGCACGCCTGGGTCTCAGCTCGAGGAGGCGAACCTTCTTCCAGTCCGACCCGAGGATGGCGATCTTGGCGGCCGAGAGGGGGTGCATCATGTGCCTGGTGGTTGTGGAGCCATCAAGATCGGGGAATCAGGGAGACGGATCCATCGGTGCAGACTTAGGGGTGTCTGCTCGAGCACGACGTGGAGTACGGCGGTCAGTACACGCACTTCCGCATCTCACTTCCGCATCTAGGGTTGCGTGTTGCCGCGTCACGTTCCACGCCGCGCGCACGATGAGAGGGCCGTTGATGATGTACCTATATGGACAGGTCTCGGACATGTCCCGGGCGTGAGTCTCTCGTCTCCGAGGGGACGATGCCGAGAGATGATGCACGTCTTGTGCATCGTCTCCGGGTAGTGTCCGGACAGCACCTCCGCCGTCTTCTTCATCAGCACGCGAAACTCTTTGCCGAGGTGGTCCGAGTTGAGGCCTACGCGGGCACATGTCTCGGACAAGTCACGGACGCGTCCTGGACACGTCCTCGGTCAGGCTGGTCAGAGTCGAGGCCTTGGCAGTCGATCACGACCACCGTCTTGTACGTCCGCTTGCCCAGCGCGCCGCAGTTTGCGATGTTGCACGCGCGCTTCGCCTCGGCGGCGTAGGTGACCTGAGAGAGGCGGGAGGTGGGGAGGCGGGCGGGGTAGGGAAGGGCGCCTTCGAGGCCGATGGGGGAGCGGCCTCAAGTCTGAGCTGAGCCGTCAGGTCTGGAGCCGCCCCCCTCCCCCCCCCTGCGCGCGCCTGCTTGATGATTGCGTCGAGCTCGAAACTCTTGAAGAGCTTCGACACCTCGCGGGAGAGAGGCAGAGGAGGTGTGGGGAAAGGAGGGGGGATGTGTGTGTGTGTGGGGGGGGTGCGGGGCGAAGTGTACAAGTGCGTTCAAGAGACTAGTGGCCACTTTGAGCCGGTCGAGATGACATGCCCGAGACACAGCCGAGGTGCAACCGAGATACAGCCGAGGTGCAGCCGTACAGCCCCTCTCACCTTGAGCCGGCCGAGCCGCATCAGCTCGACGATGTGCCCCTGCTGGTCTCGCCCGACCGGCCCGCTCTGGTAGAGCTGCTCGAAGAGCGGGCGGTCCGCGGGAGGGGAGTCGAGCACCTACGAGGACGGCTCCCAGGCGAAGGGTCCGGGAAAGTTCCCTGCGAGGTGGCCAGCGGAGGGAGGAGTCGGGCACGGAGTCGGCGGCCGCACGCCCGCGCCACTCGAGAGCCTCAGAGAGCTCGACGTAGACCGTCTCTGCCCAGTCCTTGCGGTACGCGTACCCGCGCAGGAAGCAGACGAGCAGGTCGAGCGGCACCTGTTCACAGAGACGGGTGTGAAGAGAGGCGCTCTTCACAGAGCCAGACGAGCACAGGTCGAGAGCGGCGCACCGCATCGAAGCGAGCGGCGCCGAGCCAGCGGCGGACGGCGGCGAGGGTCTGGAGCTCTGGGTCGGAGAAGGGGAGCCACTCTTCGCGCGGGACGAAGCCCTTGACCTGCGCCGGAGGGGAGGGCGGGGGCGGGAGATAGAGAAGGCGCGGTGGCGGGAGGGGCAAGGGCATGGGGGGGCGCCGCCTCGTCTGACTCACTGACCGGCGTGGCAGAAGGAGCGCACGAGAGAGGAGCGGCACCGCGCGGGGGCGTGGCGGGCCAGTGGGGTTGGGGCCAGGGCTGGGGGCTGGGGAGAAGGCGCCTTCTCCTCGGGGAGGAGGTCGGCTCGCTTCGGCGGCGGAGCGAGCACGGCTTGCTCGCACTTCTGCTCGCACTTCTGCTCGCGCTTCTGCTCGCGCTTCTGCTCGCCGCCCCTAGCGCCGCTCCCGCCGCAGGCTGTCGGGTGCGCCGTGGAGCTCAGGCCGGGCGCCTCCTCCTCCGGCTGCGGCTCCGCCCCCGCCTCCTCTAGGACCGCCTCCTGCAGCTCCGCCTCCTGCAGCTCCACCTCCTGCTCTGCGGCGACGGCGTCGTCCGGCACAGCCGCCTTGGCATCGCCGAGGGTCGTCTCGCCGGCGGCGCTGGCCTCGGGCTCGTCCGCGAGGATAACCTCGCCGCGGAGTGCCTCCGCGTCCGAGCGGCCGCCCGCTGTGGGTGACTCGTCGCCTTCGGAGACTGTCGGCTGCGTCGTAGAGACTGTCGGCTGCGTCCCCCCCCCCGCCTCCTCCGCGTCCGCGTCCGCAGCTGCTCCGCGCCCAGGTTTCCGCCAGGAGGGGACTGACAGTCGCAGCTGGCTTGCGCTGGCTGGCAAGCGCAGCCGCGGCATTGCACGGCGCACACTCCTGCGCTTCTCGCCGTTGATGCTGCCGTCAAAACTCGAGATGTCAGAGATGTCGGACGACGCCCCAGAGATGATGGATGTCGAGCGAGCCGAGTGCGGCGTGCCGGGGAGCTTCGCGGAGGCGCAGGAAGACGGCTGGCGCGCCAGCACTCGCAGCGTGGGCGGCGTCGCACCATTCGACATTCTTCGCGCTCTTGGGCCGACGGCCTGCTTGGGAGGAACGATGCAACGCTGAGGCGCTCTTCATGCACAGACCGTAAGGGAAGCTCTTTCACCTGTCCTGCTTCCAGAGCGACTGATCCATTCAAATTAAAGCAAAATTAGTTCTTCGGGGCGGAAGGTGAAGAAAAACACGCGGGATGTCTGTGGGCCCGAGAGCGATATGCCATGTCCGCCTTGCGTTTGTTTCATAACATCGAAGGCTAAGCTCAGAAAAACAAAGAAGAATCGCCGATCGAGGCGGGAAAGAGGTCACGATCTCTGTGACCTTGGTTTGTTGGTCGCAGCCCGTGCGGCCGCGTGATCGATCGGCTCATTGGCGGACGGCCTGCTGATGAGAGAGAGCGTGACCTCCGGCCGCGCCTCGCCGCGCGAGCCAACGAGCAGCGGCGCCATGACCCCCGAGGGCACCTGGTCCGCCGGCCAGCTCATGCCGGACCTTATCCCAGACTCAGGGGCGGCGGTCGGGCACATTGTCAAGGCGGGGTCGTGGGCGTGGCGGACGCTACGTTCCGCGACGGTCGAGCTCCAGGAGCTCGTGGACGGGGTTCTGGACGACCTCGAGGGACTTGGCGTCGATGCGCTCCACCCGCCCGCTTCGCGAGGCGCGGATGACTCTGATCCCTCTGAGCGGGGGATGAGCTCCAGCGACTCGTGCGCGAGTGAGGCGCTCGGGTACGGAGGCGAGAGCACGGACATGAGCGCGGACGAGGAGGAGAGCTCCGGGGCGGCAGACGGCGGCGACCTCTGCTTACGCGCCCCCTCGCCTGTCGAAAGCGTGCTCACTGGCTTGCCCTCGCCCGTGCTGACTGGCCTGCTCCTGCCGCTGCCGCCTCAGCCAGTCTCGCTGAGGCGCGTCGAGAGCGAGGCCTTCGAGCTGGTCAACTTTGAGGACTGTGTCGAGGTCGGATGGGGCGAGGAGGACGGACCGTGATGGCGAGGCAGGGCACCGTCGGAGAGGGGACGCCTCTCTCGCCCATACAGTTATATGCCCGCCAGCCGCCGAGCTCCTTTGCGTTTTCGCCGCCGTCGCGGCCGCGCCACTGCACGTACGTGCTACACCTCTTGTCCCACGAGGCGAGCCGCACAACCTAGCATGGGGAGGGTGTGCGAGTGGGAGATGCCTGTGTTTTGGGGTGGGTGTCGCATTTGTTTGAGGGAGCAGGGTCCACACGCGACACACACACCATAGACCTGGAGACCACAGCGCGGCGCGCACAAGGAACTTCGCGCGCACTCAGTACCGCTGTCTATGTGGGTCAGGAGTATATGTAGGAACCGACACCGGATGCAACCCCCGGGAGCGGGACGACTCTTCTCTCTCGCATGCACGTACCGCGTACACCTCTGCCTCTGTGTGTGAAGCGATTAACGTAATCGAGCCCGCAGCGGCGCGCCCCATCCCTTCGAGTTGGACGCGCGCGGAAGCTTCAGAGGCCAGTCCAAGTACCGAGAGCGTCAATCGGGCGGCGAGCGGATTGAGGCGGAAAAGACTTGCGACCGCAGCGCCTCCTGCGGCGGGGGCGCAGTGGCGCGAGCGAGGAGAGCAAAATCGCACGCGACCTGAAAGAGCGGACACGGTTTGGGCCGGTCAGGGGCTCGGCACGAGAGGGGAGAGTCCCCAGCTGCTAGTCCCGCGCTTCACCGCTCGAAAGGCGAGTGCATCGTCGACCGCCGCGAGAGCCGCGGCGTGAAAGTCGTCTGCACTCGGAGGGGCGGCCGAAGTGGCGGTGAGAAAGGCGTGCTCCGCGGAGAGGGCGGCGCGCCTAGTCTCGGACGAGATCTCGTGTGATCTCGAGTGAGCTCGCGCGCAGCTCGGCCCCGCGGAGCGACGGCGGCGCGCAGGACTGCGTCGCCCGCCTCTGCGCCGCAGCAGGAGAGGAGAGCGCGCATAGCGTCGGCGACGCGAGGAAGCATCTCGTGCGCGGCGTGCGATGCGAGGGCGACGAGGAGGCCGCCGAGCAGCGCGCGCGCAGGGCCGGCCTCCGAGGCGAGGAGGCGTGGCCGCAACTCGTCCGACTCGGCGAGCCTTGCCGCCAGCGCCGCCGCCGCGCGGACGAGATCGCGCGACGGCTGCCGGAGGGCGCGCGCACAGAGGGCGAGGGCCGAGTCGAGGAGGGGCGGCGGCAACGCCTCGCTGCAAAAGAGCGCCGCGCGGTAAAGGAGCTCGAGGAAGGCGACGCAGACGTCGGCGAGGGGCGCCGCGGCATCTTGAGACGCGAGCGCAGCGGCCAGGTTGGGCACGGCAAATCCGGCAGCGCGGTCGAGGGCGGCGGAGAGGAGCGGCGTCGCCGCCTCCTCGGGCCCAAACCGCTCGACGGCCGCCGCCAAGGTCTGCAACGCGCAGACGGCGCCGTCCGAAGCGAGGGCGAGGGCGTGGGCGAGGTTGTGGGCGGCGAGGCCGGCGAGGATCGCGTCGAGGAGCTGAGACAGCCACGGCAGGAGGGGGGCGGCACCGCCCGCGCGCATCGCGAGGACGAAAAAGTCGCAGAGTGCGCGAAAGGAGGCGGCCGAGCGGGCGGACGGGGCGGCGAGTGGCTGGAGGACAGGCCAGGCGGCGCCTGAGGGAGGAAACCATCTGGAGTGCTGGTGGAGTGTGCTGTGGGTCTCCGAGGCCGAAGGGCGGCTCGCACCGAGCAGCAGCACCATCGGGTGCGCCTGGCCGCCTCCCGGCTGAGGGAGGGGAGGGGAGCTGTCCAAGTGGCGAGCGACGCTGCGCAGCCTGGCGAGGGCGGCCGCGATCGCGGCACCGGCCGCCGCGATCGACTCGGCGTCGTCGGCGGCGGCGAGCGTCGCCCCGAGCGCCGGCAGGGAGGCGAGGATTGGCGACGCGATCGCGTCGAGCGCGGCGGCGATCGAGGCGGGCGGGAGGAGCACCACGAGTCGCATGCAAGCCGAGCGCGCCGTCTCGGCCGCCTCGCCGTCCGAAGCGAGAGGCTCCTGAGGGACGTGTCGTGGGCTTGTCGTGGACGTGTCGTGGACGTGTCCAAAGCGCCGCCCGAGGCGAACGGCTCCTGCTCGAGAGCGGCGAGCAGGGGAGGGAGGAGCTGCTGCAGCGTCGCGTCGGTGCCGAGCCGCCACGCGCAGCCGCCGTAGCAACAAATGGCGCTGAAGGCGCTCGCGGCGTGGCGGCCAACGCTCGGGTCGCCGAGCGAGCGGAGGACGGCTTGCACGCACCCCTGCAGCGCCTGCGCCCGCTCGGCTGGGGCGAGCCACGGCGCAAAAGCCGCGATGCAGCGCAGAGCGGCGGCGCGCAAGTACGGCGGAGCCCCATCCCCTACTCCACACGCCGCGGAGAGGGCAGCCTCGACAGACGGAGCGAGCGCGCGCTGCTCCGCAGTGTCGGCAAACGCGTCCGACGTCTCGGCGGCGCGAGCCGCTCGTGCCGCCGCCTCGCCGCCGTTTCCGCCGCCACCGTTCCCGCCGCTCCCCGAATCGGACGCCGCTCGCAAGTTCCCGCCCGCTGAGACGAGTCTCCGGCGGGTGGGGCGCCGCCCCTGAGGCAGCAGCGCGGGAGCGGCGCACTCGGACAAGTGCAGCGCCGCCTCGAGCCGCCGCCAGCCGCCGCCGCCAGCAGCCACAGCGGCGCCCTCCCTCGCCTCCGCCGCCAGCAGCTGCGCCACCGGCAACGCGCCGACGCCGCCGAGCAGCGACTGCCACAACTCCTGCACGCAGCTGCGCCGGTAGCGCCAAAAGTCATCCTCCTCGACCTGCTCACTCACCGTTGCGGTTGATGAGGAACCAACTGCTGACCCGCCCCAACGGCGAACTCCTCGACCTGCTCCGACGCCCAAACGAGCCGGCCGCCGCCCTCGCCGCCCTCGCCGCAGTCGTTTGGCAGGGCGTTGCGCGCGAGCAGCGTGCGCGCGAGGACGGACCACGCGCCGTGCGCCGCCGGGGCGTCCGCCGTCAGCCTGAGGAGCACCGCAGGAGGAGCACCGCTTGCGTCACGGCACGAGTGAGACGCCCTTTGCTTGTGCGGAGGGGAGGGAAGGGGCGAGGGAACCCGCTCAGCGCCGCCCACGCGCAGCACTGCGCCTCGAGGTGCTGGTACTGCGTGTCAAGCTCAGCCTGACACAAACAAAAAGCGGCGCGTGAGCGGCACGATGCGACTTCCAGCAGGTGCCGACTCGCACGGCCGGCCTCTGCGCTGCTCAGCAGCAGCAGCGCGCGCAGCGGGCCGTAGCATTCGCTGCCGCCACCCTCGCCTGCGCCGCTCACTCCGTGGCCGGCGCCGCCCGCCGCGGACAGAGCGACAGCATCCTCGGGCGAGGCGGCGACGGCGGCGGCGAGCGTGCGCGCGAGGGGGAGCGCGGCGGCGACGGCGCCGGAGGCGTCGGCGGCAGAGGCGGCGGCGCTCGAGGCGGCGGCGGCGGTGGCGGCGTGCGGAAGGGCGAGTGAGGCGAGGTCGCTCAGCGAGGTGAGGAGCGAGCGGCTGAGCTCGGTGGCGGAAGCCGAGGGCGGGAAGGCAGCCACCTCGAGGGCGCCGCACAGAGCCTCGGCCGCCGCCTCGGCCGGCCACTCCTCCGCCTGCGCGTCCCTGTCGCCGCCATGAGGCCGCAGCGCGAGGGCGAGCGGACGGACCAGGGCGCCGAGGTCGGTGAGGTCTGCCCCGAGCGGCTGCCACGCAGCGGCGCACGCGGCGACGGAGAGGGGCGCCGCAGCCTGCGGAGTGGGAAAGGCCGTGGTGGAGGCGTTGCGAGTGGCAGGTGGCGAGGAGGGACGGGAGGAGCGAGGCGAGTGGCGAGTGGCGACGGGTGAGAGGCGAGTGGCGAGGAACTCATCTACGAGCCAGTCGCCTCTGTGTCGACCAGCGAGGTGAGCAGCGCGAGCACCGCCGGCAGCGAGGTGCGGAGCCGCTCGGGAGGCCACGCAAGAGGAAGGGAGCCGAGTAGCTCGACGCGCTGCGCGGGAGGGAGCGCCGCAAAGGCGGGCAGCGCGGGAAGACCCTCCGGCCCGGCGAGGGCTCGGCTCGCCAGGTGGGCCGCGGCGACGGTGAGCTGGGCCCGAAGGGTGCGGGCTGTGCCAGAGAGCGCTTCGAGGCAGCGGGAGAGGAGAGCGAGCGCGTCGACGCTGGCGAGCGACGAGGCATCGCGCCGCGCCTTGAGGTGCAGCATCGCTCCACTGGCAAGACGGCACTCGGGATGTACAGACCCAAGAAGCTGCAACGCTCCACTCCACGCCTCCTCGGAGCGCGAGAAGTGCTGCAGGAACCGGTCACACTCGGCGGCACGCGACGGCTCGCGGTGCATGGCGAGCACCGCGGCTTCCACGTTCTGCAGCTGCACGGGCAGCATGGCCACAGTCGGCACGCATAGTGAGGACGCGCGACAACGTTCCGGCTCCTACCCGGATAGTCATCACTGACTCGCGCCAAAACGCCCTACCTACCCTACCTATCCCCAGGCCGCGCAGCGAAGCGAAAAAAGATGAAAATAGGGGGTACCTACCTATTGCAGGGCCCTTTTGGGCCAAACAAGACCAACCTACCTACCAGCTACCTATCTGGGAGGGGCCAGCCAGTGGGAACAGACCCCCTATCCGGGTAGGAGCCGGAACCCAGCCGCCTCACGGCTCGAAAAGAAGAAATTCCGACGGGCAAACGGCCATGTGGCTTCGAAGTAAACGCGCGCGCCGAACCCCGAGGTGACACTCTAACCTTGCACACGCCGCCCCCTCTCCACCAGGAATGCGGGGATGTCCTTCGGGATGGATGGGTGCTTCATCTTCCGCTCCGCCTCCTCTGCCTCCTCCTCCCTCCGCCGTCTGCGCTCCGCCTGCCGCCTCTCGATCTCGCTTCCAAACAGGCTCATCATGCGCGCCGCCTCCTCGTCGATCAGCCTACCAGAGGGTCGGTCGCGCAGCGGTTGGCGGCGGCGTGCGATGAGCGCGGGGGACCGGCAAGAGGGTCGACAGTCTAGCCACCGTCCCCACGGCCACCTGCGAACAGCCTCGCAGTTCGGATTGCGCCGGTCGGCCATATTCACCTGCTGCGCGGCCTTTGCCCGGAAGCGGTAGATCGCCGCACGCACGTCGGCGTGCACACCAAGCTGCGGTCGGGGCAAGGGGCCGTCGCTGAGTGCGCTGCCGGCCAGCGCAGGGAGTGGTGAGCAGCGACGGCCCTCTCACGCCTGCTCCTCGAGAGACCCGCGCAGCAGCTGCTTCAGCCGGGTGAACTCGCCTCGCTCGAGGGCGACGAGCTCCTCTCCGCGGATGCCGGTTCGCTGCGAGTACTGGTGCGGCGCCAGCTCGTAGCGCGACGCGAGCTCCTTCCGAACCGTCGTGTAGAGCGAGGGCGGTTCCTGTGCGGGCGCGGTGTTGGGCGTCACGAGCTGGGCGGCGGAGCGTGCAGAGCGGCGTTAGGAGATGCCTCGACCGCGGACGCCTCCAACGCGCCCGTCGCGCGAGCTCTTCCGCTCACGGCGGCGGACTGGGTAGTCGACGCCGCCACGCCACCCTTGCGAAGAATTTCGGCCACGAGCTCCTTGCCGCGCGCCGCCGCCACGGCCGACTCGACAATCTCAGCCACGCTCTGCCTCGCGCCACCCTCGGTCCGAGGCGACGCCCGACGCCGCCGCATCGACGTGGAGAGGCGGCGGGCGGCGGTGGAGGCGGCCGCCTCCGCCGCGATTCGCTCTGCGCGCAGCTTGGACGGCACCAGCGTGGACGCGCGCAGCGCATCCTCCCACTCGCCTAGGTTGCATCGGGTAGAGTGGGAGGGGAGAAGTCCGGAATTAGAGCGACCCAACATCAAGGGATGGTCGCTCACCAGGCTTGCGTTCAACCACCGGCGGCTGCTGCGGCCGGATCAGCTCGGCCAGCCTGCGGCGCTCGGCCTCGTCAAAAGTGTCCCTCGGCGACTCGCGTGGCGAGTCGGGCGGCGACTCGGCAGCCGCCGCACCGCCGAGCCTCCGCGGCGTCGATGCAACCACCGTGTCCTCGAGCAGCTGGTTCTTGGAGGAGGCGGAGACAAGCAGCGCGCTGCTGCCCGTCCGTGGGCTCGCTGTCTGCTCGAAGCACGCGTCCGCGAGTCGGGTCGCGGCCTCCTCCTCTGCCACCCGCGGCGAGGGGCTGGAGCAGCTAGGGGGCACGAGCCTGCCTGGCTCCGCCGGGCCGGGGAGCTCCTCCGCTGCCCGCGGCAGGACGGCGCCGCCGGCGAGAGCGAGCGTCGACATGGTGATGTGAGAGCGCGGCGAGTCGCAACGCTCCTCGCTCTTGTCGCGTCCGGGGCTCCCGACGCTGAGCGAGCACGCGCCTGCAGCGCTGCCGTCGCACGCGGCCGCAGGCGCTTGCACGGGGTGCGGCACTGGCCGCGGCCACGAGGCCCGTGGCGAGGCTCGCGGCGAGTTCAGCGTGGCTCGCGGAGACGGCGGCCTGGCTCGCGGAGACGGCGGCCTGGCTCGCGGAGATGACGGCGCGGCACCAAAGCGGGGTCGACGAGGCGAGGCCGGGAGCGCGGATACCTCGCAGCCTAGTCCGGCTGGCGTCGCCGGAGCAGGCGCCTCGGCACCAACATCCGGCTTCGCCTCGCCAACCCCGCCCACCTTACGTTCATCGGCCGCTTGGAGCGGCGCTACGCTTGCACTGGCAGCGGTGGCCGGAGCTCCGCGGGGCGTGCTGGTGCGCGGACTCCTCGGTCGCTTCAGCTCCTGGAGGAAGGCGGAGCCCCACTTGACACTCCGGCGGCGCGCGTCTGCAGCACTGATCTCGCTCTTCATCGCGCTCATGCCGTCGCGCACGCCGACGGGAGTGGGGTGGCGCACAACGACCTCCTGCCTCTCAATTTCGGCAAGCACGTTGTATTCCGTGTCGTACGCGCCGTAGATGCCAATGTAGAAGGCACCCGGATAAAAGTTGGCGTCGCCGGGCTCGAGGTACACCTCGTCCGACCCCATGCCAGCGGAGCTCCACGTGTGGTGCTTCTGGTTGGGGTTGGTGTTGCGGTTGCATACAAAGATATCGGGGTCGCCGCTCAGCGCCTCGACCGTCACATTGAGCGTCATGCTCTTTGTGGGCACCACCACCTTGTAGTATTGATAGGCAAACTGGGCCACGTGCCCGCGGCACACCTTTCCCGACATGAGAGGCAAGGCGGGCGTCTTGCCCTCCACCTTGGACTTTGGCGGCGGTTCGCCCGACGGCTCCACGAACGACGCACACGGGGGCGCCTCCGACGGCTTGCGGCCGACCTCGAGGCTATCAGGGTCGAGTTGCAGGTCGTCCACCTGTCAGAGGATGAGGAGAAGGGCGGGACGTGGCGCGCCGTTCAAGAGGTGGAGGAATTAGAGCGAGGGCGAGGCGCGCCGTACGGAAGTCACGCGTCGATTTGGGCACCGCGTACGACACGAACCCGTTGCCCGGCCGCCGCTGGTTCTTGCGGCGGGCGTGTGTAGTGACGAGGCTTGCCCGCACCTGCCCCTCTGCAGAACGGGCAGCGCTGTCTGTCTTGACGCACACCGCCTCCGCGGAGGTTGGGGAGTAGACGGGCAGCACCATGTACGTTTGCAAAGTGGTGGGGCGGTCGCCAATGCCCCATGCGGGCGGCGGCACTGGCACTTGCTTGGACTCCACCATGGTGCCTTTCGCGCGGAGCGAAAGAGTCGTTACAGTTCGACCAGTCATTCGTACTGAAGCCATGGTGAGCCCTGCGCACGGAGCCATTTCTGCTGGGACCACCATCTGAATGCGGCAGGTTTTACGCCTCGCCCTCGGTGAGCAGCGCGCTGGGTGGGGGAGAAAAAGCTGGGCACGGGGGAGGACGACGACCAAAATAAATAAATAGAGCAGTCATCTCCAGGGAGAGATGGGCGACGCACACGAACACAGAGGGACAGTGCGCACCCCGCCCCGCTCGCAGGGCGTGCATCACACAGGTGGACTGTGTGACTCCTCGGGTTTCTGGGACTCAGAGGTGTGCTAGTCGCTATTCTCCGACAATTCCGACATGTCTGACGGGCAGTTCGGGCTCGAGCGGTCGCGGTCGCGGCCAGCGCGTGAGGCCTGGCTAGGGTTGCCGGGCGAGAGCTCGACCCACGCGCCGGAGCGCGCGTGGTGCTTGGCCACTATATGCACAAGAATCGCCGGGAATTCTTGTTGTGAAATTCTTTTTCTCGGTCCTCGCGGGAGTCGCTTAGGCGGCTCCAGTGGTGTACCTGTGTTAGTGCCAGTGCGCGCCAGTCCCGTCTCCCCTCTACAAATTCTTTTCTCGTGTCTGCAAGCGCCGCGCGCCGCCCGCGACGCTGCCTCGCCGAGCTCGAAATATGCTGCGCAGCTTCTTGGGAACCGGGCTGCTCCGCAGGCTGCCTGCCGCGCCCTGGGGGGCGCGCGGCATTATCACCGTGAAGGTCAACGACCCGTCCACCCGCGGCGACGAGCGCAGCAAGGACGTGATGCAGGGCGAGGTGATGCGCGCCGAGGAGATGGCAGTCGCACACTTCAACCGGCTTGTGCGGAAGGAGACCGAGCTGGGGTCGCTGCACCAGAGCGGGCGCCGGATGAAGCGCCTCTCGCGCTACGTGAAGCCTTTCCAGCAGAGACGCCTCGACGGTGCGCCCTCGCCGACCGCAGCGCGCGCGCCCGGCCGCTAGCCGTCCCCGCTCCCACCCGTCGCTTACCCTCCCGCGCTTGACGACCGCAGCGAACAAGTCGGAGTACGGCCGCTACAAGGCGCGGATGGACGCGCTGATGAACTTTGTCCAGTACCGGAGGCGGAGAGGATGACGCGCAGTGTGGCGCGAGAACACTGTGGAGAACCGGCGGCTGCGGGGAGTTTGACTGGTCAGCGTGGCGCCATTGCGTGCGTGTGACCGCTATGTGCTCTTTGTAGTTGGTACCTGTAATAGCTACAGCACTCTCAGCATCCTTGGAATGAGAGACTCAACTGCAGTTGCCGGTCGGGGGGGTCGTTCGGTTTTAAAGTCGTTACGTTTTGCCGCACGCCGCACCCGTTTCACTGCACACCCCACTGGAGGGCGGCGCGCCCGGCCGCCCGCTGCCCCCGCCCCGCGCGCGCCGCGGCCCGCGCACAGCCGCGATTCGGTCCAGGGTGCGGGTAGCCGTGAGTGGGTGAATCCGATTACTCCCCGCTCTTCGCCCCCGCGCGCGCAAACTGGATCGCGCCGCCCCAGAGCGTCTCGTGCTGGCGCAGCTGCAGCCCGAGGGAGCCGCCAAAGTAGTCGTCAGCGTCCTTGCGGTCGGCGGAGCGGAGGAAGGGCGCCAAGTTGTCGGTGAGGGCTAGCTCCGAGGCTGGGTGGCCTGCGGCGGGGATAGTCGGTGGACGTGTTGGACGTGTCGTGGACGTGTCGTGTATGAGGTGCAAGTGGCATCTCGGCGAGATCTCGGTACATCTCGCGGGTGCATCTCGGCGCATCTCGGCGTCCCTCGGCGAGGAGGGCCGCCGCCTCGCGCAGCAGCGCCGCCTTTGCGGGCGGCGAGAGGTAGAAGAGCACCGCCTCGAAGACGACCAGCGTCGGCCTGGGCGTGGGCAGTCTCATGAATCGCCACCGCGAGGGCGAGAGGGCGGGGCCGTCTCTCGAGGAGGGGGAGGAGGAGGGCCTGCTGCGGTCGAGGCCGAGCGGCGCGAGCGCCTCGAGCGCGGGCGCGCCTACGGGGAGGCGTCCGAGAGAGAGAAGCTTCGCGGAAAGGTCTGTGGCAGCAGAGAGGGGGCTGTGGCAGCAGAGAGGGGGCTGTGGCAGCAGAGAGGGGGCGGTCAGTGTGTGCGCGCCCGAGGCGCAAGTCATGAGGTCGAGCGGCAGCATGGCGGGCTGGCGGACGCCGGTCGCCGCGGCGTACCGCGAGGAGAGGACGCCCTTGGCGCGCGTGACGACGGGCAGGTCCACCTCGTAGAAGGCGGGCGCCTGGTCGCCCGAGTAGCGCAGCGCGCGCGTGTCGTACCCTGCGCCTGCGCCTCGACGCAAGCTCGGGTCAGCGGGTGCAATCTCGCGGCGCGGCGCGTGTCTGCGCCCCGCGCCGAGCAGGACGACTTGCGCCTCGGCGGCCGAGACCCCGCTCGCTTTCAGCCCGTCGATCCACGCGTCGAGCGTCGAGTCTAGGAAAGAGGTGCGCTGCGCAATCCACTCGAGCTTGGGGAGCACCTGGAGGGAGTTCGGAGACGCGTGCGGGTGAGGTGCTCGCGGAGGCGCGCTCCACACGCGAGCCTGGGCAGCACCGGAGCCCACAGCGGCGCGACCGCCGGCGAGACGAGCCAGCGCGAGGCGGGCGGCAGCAGCTGGTAGGCGACAGGGTCATCGAGCTGGCCGGAGGAGGCGAGGAGGGCTCGCACCCAGAGCACCTGCAGGTTCTTGTACGAGTCGAGGCGCAGGTCCGGCTCCGTCGCGTACAGCACCTGCGACGGGAAGGAGGAGCTCCGTCGCACACGACAGCGCGAGGCGTGGCCGAGACGGCAGCACGGCTGGGCGTCGACAGGGCGACGCGGGCTGCAAGGCTGGCGGCATGCCTTGAAGGCGAGCTCGAATAGTGTGTCGAGGGCCTTCTGAACCGCCGTCCGCTCCGGTGGGCCGCCCTTGGGAGGGCCACCGCCGCCACCGGGAGGCGGCCCGCCACCGCCGCCAGGTATCGGAGGGCCGGCAGGCTTCTGCGCCGCCACCGCCGCCGGCTCGGCAGCTACGAGCCGTGCGACGCGGCACTGGCGGCCGTGGCGAGGGGCAAGCTGAGGCGCAAAGGCGGCTGCTGGGCCGCAGCAGCAGGCGGCGAGGCAGCAAAGCGTAGAGGCCGCTCCTCTCATGCCGGCAAAGCTTCAAAGAAAACGAGCGAAGCCCGTAACCCGATGCCGATCATCCGGCCCGCTGGGTGCGCTTCTGAGCTCCCCGGCCCTGGATGTGAGGTTACCGACTGCACTCCAAGTGCTCCAAGTGCGTAAGACCGCAAAAGAAAAACGAAGCCACGCACGAATGTGATCTCACACGAATGTGATCACTCCTCCCGCCTCCCCTCCTCCTCCCCCTCTCTCCCCTCACCGCATCGGCCCTCCCACCGCCATCAGCTTCACGTCAAAGCCGCGCATCGCGAACCACTCCGCCGTGCACCGCCGCTCGAGCGGGTCCGTCGCAGAGAGGTGAACTTCTGCGGCGCGCATGTATGCGGGCCGCTCCTTGTGGTACTCCGCTTGCCATGCGCCGAGGTAATCGCTGTATGAGCTGTGCGCTCCCAGGCTGTGGCCGGCGTGCTTCAGGTACGCCACTCCTTCGGAGGAGTAGATCGGGACTGCGATGCCGAGCATGCACCACGCCTTGGAGGCAAAGGAGCGGGCGTAGGTGAAGCCCGCGGCCTTGCACGCCGCCGCCAGCGCCTCCACCTCGTCCGCGGCGTCAAAGTCTCCACTACCCAGCGAGCCCTGCCGCGACCGGAGGTGGCTCGCGACGGGTGCGAGGCGGAGCACCGTCTCCGCCGACAGCCCGGGAAAGGTGCGCGGCACGCCATACGCGACGATAAAGGTGCGAAGCGCCGTGCATGCTTGCCTGATCTCCGCCTCGCGCATCTTCGCGGTCGGGACGGCTGCGCTCACGGCGTCGAGCAGGTCCGTCATTATTTGACAGTCAGGCACAGTCTGCTTGCCGCCGCCTAAACCGTTCGTGCTGCCGTGATCGTTGGCTTGGCGGAAGCGGCGAAAGTACTGGACGACGTGCCGCTCGGCAGTGCTCGACGTCCTGGGCCTTTCGACGGTGGAGGGCTCAACCGAGCGCTTGCGCTTCATGGTCGGTGAGCTTGGTGAGTCCTCGAAAGAGCAATGGGTCCTCGGTACCCTGTGTGCGCGGGGCTCTAGGGGGCTCTAGGCCCGGTCGATAAGCGAGTCGGGGCGCGAAGAAAAGAATTTGCGGCGGCTCGAGCAGGAACGGGCGCGCCTGGCACTAACATCTACACCGCTATTTAGCGAAGAAAAGAATCGCCAGACGTGAAAAGAATCGTGGGCCTGTGCCTCCTCCCATACCTCCCTCGGGCGTGCTGCTCTTCTTTCTTTTAAGAATCGTGGCCCCCTCCTCCCATACCTCCCTCGGGCCCTGTCGTGTGGGTGAACCCTGCCCAGCCCCCCTCCGTGTCGCGATGCGCTCCCCGCTCCCGTTCCCCTGTGTCCCTGATCGTCCTTACAAGATCCTGCTCGTGCAGGTGGGGACCCTGTCCTTCTCCCACCCCTCGTTTGGCGTGCCCGTTTTATTTATTTATTTATTCGGGCGTGCTGCTCTTCTTTCTTTTAAGAATCGTGGCCCCCTCCTTGCCCGCAAAAAAAGTCATCTGACTTGGTTGGGCCCTCGCCCCTCGGGGACCCGGCCCCTCTGGCCTCTCTCGCGAGAAAATACAAAGCGGCCAAGCCTGCTGCTCCTCCGTGCGAGTGTCAACGCAGAGCCCCTGTGACAAAGCTAAATAAACAAATCAGACCCCCAACAACGCGGTCATATGTCTTTCAAGCCAGGTGCGGTGGGCCTTACACTGGGTCCTACCATAGGTCATGGCAAACAGGGCGGGATTCACATATTCACTCCTACGCGCGCTCCATGCGTCGCCGTCGAATGTGGCTGCGCGCACGGAGGCAGGGTACGATCGGTCACATGGTGGGAGCAGAGCGTGCTCAAGTAGGCCCTGGGGGGGCCTTTCGTTCGCTGTCGCTCTGAACCTTCTGCTTCACGCGGGATTGGCCGCGAAGAAGAGGGCGGCCGCGGCGGCCGCGGCAGCAAGGAGGCCTCCCACGCCGTCATCCGTCGCTTTGACGCCGCCGCCGCTGGCCGTCGCTGCCTTGGCCGGCCTCCACCGCAGCTGGCGCGCGAGCTGCTTCTTCTGCTGAACCTCCGCCAGCGCGGTGTTGACCTGGTCGCGCTCGAGCCGCAGCGCGGTCCCCGCCGCGATCAGTTCGGAGACAGCCTTGGCGTTGGCCGCCACTGCGTCCGAGAGCTGCGAGGACAGATCCTTGAGCGCAGCCTCGGGCTCGTCAAAGGGAGGGTAGCTGAGCGGACGAACCTGCGGGCCTCCAAAGGCAGCGACCTGCTCTGGCGTTAGGCCGATGAACGCCGAGCCCAAATGGGTCGAGGTCTGTAACCTCCGGGTCGCGCTCTGACAGCGGCCGACGTGCAGGGCCTCCAAATGCGGCCACCTGCTCGGCGGTGAGAGTGATCGAAGCCTTGAGCGTGACGTCTCGGCCTGCTGCGCGCCTGCCCATTGCGCCATGCCGAGGGCCACTCGCGGCGAGGAGCCCTGTTACTGCGAGAGAAATAGCAAGCAACATCGTCCGTCGAGCGTCGGGCGCGGCAAGTCCTGGATGGACTAGGGCCGCGGCGAGTCCTGGACGAGGCCGCGGCGTGTCCTGACCCTTCAGCGCTCGCGCAGCGGGACTGCAATTGCGATATTATGGTTTCTTCTGGCCTCCGGGTTAGGAGCGAGCTGGCGGCGACGCTCAAAAAGGCCTCCATTGCGGGCGGAGGGGAAAAATCTTTGCCGATCCGGTCTATGTATCGGAGTCTTTGTTAGTATCGAGGTCTCGTGAGTTTTGGCACTGATAAATTCGCGCGAGCCGAGCCAGGCCACGGCGCTCGGCCTGCTGAGAGAAGACCTTCCCCGACGGCAGTGACAATTTACCCGACATCAATCGTCGACGGCAAGCTCGAGAACTGCGCCTCCAAAGTCGCCCAGATTCGCCTCTCGCGGCGCGCTGAGTTAGTATCGCCGGTGCGCCAGCCGGCTCTGCTCCACAGCAGGGCATGCCTGACTGGCTCCTGCTAGCCGTGCGTCCTGGTGGCATCCATTGCCAGCTCAGGTAGCCTCAGGAGGTCGCCTCGCGCACAACTCGGCGCCGCACAGCACCGCTCCGCGTTACTACCGAGTTAGTATCGTCGACCCACAGAGACTGCTCTTCTGTAGGTGGAGCCGACAAACGCCGGCCGGGTCGGCCCCGCCGCCCCCATCGCCGCCGCCGGGGCGGCGGCGGCCTCGGCGGACCATCCGGCGCGCCGCGCGCCCGACGGGGAGGTGTTCACCACTCCTGGCTCCTCACCCCGCCACGCCTTCGTGCAGACGCCGTGGCACCCGCCTCAGGCGCCGCTCGGACTCGGTTGACGGCCGCCCAAGTGCTTGGCTCGTGCCCAGCCGACCGGCAGGCGATGCCCACTCGCTGCTAGGCTAATCCCGGGCTGTCAAGCGGCGGTGTGGTGCCGTGAAGGGCAGCGGTGCCAAAACTACGACTATTAGTACCGTGCGGGGGCAGTGCATTTAATTCTGTCAAAAATCGAAATGTGCTCCGTGGGACGTATTGGGCTAGGATCATACGTCCGGGAGGCCCCCCATGCGTGCCGCAACGACCCGCAGTTCTGGTACCACTCTCTTCACGTTCACAGCTCTTAAGTGTGCCATAACTCCGATACATGGGGTAGTCCCGGGCGGAGAATTCTTTTTCTCCGTGGATGATTAGTGACCCCCCGAGAGCCACTCGGTCGCGTCCTTCGCCAGCCGGCCCAATCCCGAACGTACTCCCTCGCGTTCGCGTGAGGCCCACTCCCGATCCCGCGGACTCCCTCGTTTTCGCGTGATGGCTGCGTCCTGCGTCATCTGCTTCGACCACGACGGCGCCGGGCAGCCTGATGGCGTGTGGTGCGACGCCGGCCACTACACGTGCGCCAGCTGCGTTGAGTCGCAAGTGCGGCACGCCGCGGCCGCGTTGGGCGCAGTCTCCGACCTCGTCCTCAAGGCGGACGCCGCTGACGTGCGCACTCGGCACAAGTACGCCGGCCGCCACCTCTGTGCGTCCATCGGCTGCACGAGCGAGCCCATTGACGACAGCGAGATTGCGAGAGTCACGTCACGCACAACCTTTGCCGCCTTTGTCGAAGCCAAGGTGCTGCTGCCGACTGCGCGTCGCGTCGCGGCCGTGGTCGCCGAGGCATCCAAGGGCGCGGCTCGCGAGGCTAACCTACTCGAGCTGCAGCTGCGCTCCGAGATGCCGGCGGCTCGCATGTGCGGCCGGTGCTCCTTTGGGCCGGTCGACGCGTTCGGCTGCTCCGACCTCATGGGCCACCACGGGGAGGAGCGAGCTGGCACGAGGATCGACAACGCGTGCCCGGCCTGCGGCAACTTTGCGAGATCCATCGAGGACTGGCCGCTTTGGGACGGCGTCCTGCGCACCGCGAGCGACTGCGTCCCGCAGCCGCCCGCCGAGGAGGAGGCTGCGCGGCGGCGGCGGCGTCAGGAGGAACTCGCCTCGCAGCGGGCAGCGCTCGAGGCGTCGTGGCTCGCAGATGATGGGTCGGATGAATGGGCTCGTGAGGTGGAGTGGGCGAGGGAGGCGGAGGAGATGGAGGATGCGTGGCTGTGGCACCGGCAGCGCTTCGAGCCGCGCTGGCGCTCGCGATCCCGCTCGCCGGTCCGGCGCCCGCGCTTCGAGCGCAACCAGCGCCACGAGCGCCGCTTTCGGTCGCGCTCGCCGGACTGCTCCCGCGCCCCGCCGCTCTGGCGCCAGCGCTCGAGGGAGGCGGAGGAGATGGAGGATGCGTGGCTGTGGCACCGGCAGCGCTTCGAGCCGCGCTGGCGCTCGCGATCCCGCTCGCCGGTCCGGCGCCCGCGCTTCGAGCGCAACCAGCGCCACGAGCGCCGCTTTCGGTCGCGCTCGCCGGACCGCTCCCGCGCCCCGCCGCTCTGGCGCCAGCGCTCGCCGCCCCGTGGTCCGCGCTCGCCGCCTCCTCGCCACCATTCGCCGCCTCGCCCACCGCCGCTCTATTATTTTCGCCACCGCTCTCCGCCTCGCCACCGGCCGCCGCCTCGCCGCCGATCGCCGCCTCGCCGCCGCTAGCCTGCATATTCGCCAAAATCGGCACGCCGCCACGCCGGCGGAATGGCCTCGCGCACGCCTCGCAGATTGGTGTTCCCGCCCGAGTCAGGCGCGGAATTCCCCGAGTCACTCGACCAGCGCTGTGGTGTGACTCGGGAGGAGGCGTCCTCTACGGCTCTAGCACGCACACAAGGCTCAAGGGGCCCAACCCGCAGCAGCCAGCACAGCCGTGGGGGACGGATCACAGCACAGATGAGTCAGGGAAGTAGACCCGAGAACACAGAGGCGTGTGTACACAGAACATCGGCTAAAGAAAGAAAGAAAGAAAACAGACAAACCCAGACGAGGGATGGGGGAGGAGGACAGGGTCCCCACCTGCACGAGCAGGATTTTGGAAGGACGATCAGGAGGCTTCAGGGGGACAGGTGGGGCTCTCCTGCTCCTGACAAGGGACACGACAGGCTCGCAGCGCGGTGCACGGTGGGGTCCCAACTCCACTGGCGGTCTCATCTCAGTCTAGCGACCTGCCTCCAGCTTCCCGCTGGCATCGGCTACGAGCTCGTAGCGGAGCACTGCGGGGGCCCCGGGCCGCTGTAAGTTTTGTTGGAGCCAGCCCCGGCCGCGCGCGCGGTCAATGCTGTCTCAGCACTCGATCGTCTGGGAAGGCCTATGCGCCAGCGTGCCCGACGGCCGCGGCCAAAGGCGGGTGCTGCAGGACGCGCACGGCCACGCGCTCTCGGGCGAACCTCCGTCGGCGGACGCGTGGGTGAGCGGCGAGTCGGAGGATGACGCGTCAGACTCCGAGTCGCCGCTCGAAGGCGGCATCCTTGGCATACTCGGCCCGTCGGGCGCGGGCAAGACAACGCTGCTGCGGATCCTCGCTGGCCATGCGCTGCCCGATGCGGGCCGTGTCCTGCTCGACGGCGCCGAGTATGACGGCGCCACCGCGGAGAGGATCGGATACGTGCCGCAGGTGGCTGCTCTGCCCGCAGCCCGCGCGCGTGTTGGCAGCACGCAGCACACAAACAGTAGTAGTGGACAGTCAGGTCGTTTGCTTGGGACAGCCGCAGCCTGCGCGAGGAGCGACCCACCGGCCGCCAGCAGCTGCAGAGTGTCGCGTCACAAGGCGCCCTCTCCGCGTCCTCTCGGCCCTCCGCAGGAAGAGAAGCTCTACGGCTGCCTCACGGCGAGCGAGACGCTGATGCTGGCGGCGCGGCTCCGCGCCGTGCCCGCCGCCTCGCGCGGCCAGCTCGTCACCGACACCCTCGCCGCCCTCGGCCTGACCAGCGTCGCAGCCTCTCAAGTCGGTGCCTCTGCGCCTCCTCCCGCCTCCTCCCACCTCGTCCCGCGGCCTGCCCGGAGGTCAGCCGAGGTCAGCCGAGCTCAGCCGAGGTCACGCCTCCCCTGCCGCGCGCAGGCCGCCTCTCGGGCGGGGAGCGGAAGCGCGTCTCCGTCGCCACCGAGATGATGCACACTCCCTCCCTCCCTCTCCTCGAGCCAACCCCGCGCCCCTCCCCACCGCCGCCCACGGACCCGCACCTCTAGGCACTCCCCATCCCTCCTCCTCCTCGACGAGCCAACCTCGGGCCTCGACGCCAACGCCGCCCGCGCGCTGCTCGGATCGCTGCGCGCCCTCTGCCCGCGCCTCGCCGTCGCCCTCACCATCCACCAGCCGGGGGCAAAGCTGTGGGCGCAGCTGTCGCACTGCTGCCTCCTCGCGCCGGGCGCGCGGAGAGATGCTCCTCCGCGGGAGATTGCACGCGAGATCAGCCGAGGTCACGCGAGATTCGCGCGAGGCGTCAGGCGCGCAGCTCTACTTTGGCGCCACCGCCGCCGCCCCCTCCTACTTTGCGCGGGCTCGGCCTGCGTCTCGCGGCCTCGCGCGGGCCCTTCCCCGAGCCTTCTCTCGGAGCCTTCCTCTCAGGCGAAGCTCGGCCTGCCCCGCCCGCACGACGCCTCCGTCGCCGAGCACCTCCTCGACCTCGCCGCCGACGCAGAGCCGCTCGGGCTGCCGCTCCGCATCGCTGCGCTCGGGCCGGCGACGCACAGGCCGCCCGCCGCCGCGGCCCGCCTGCTGCACGCCTCGACCGCCAGGGCGACCGCCGCACGCCGCGCGAGGGCCGGGCGGGGGTGCGGCCGCGCGTCGCCGGCGGAGCAGTTCGCGGCGCTCTTTTGGCGCGCGCACACGCAAAACTGCCGCAACCCCGCCTTCCTTCGCGCGCTGCTCGGCCGGACTCTCACGATGGCGCGCGGCAAAGGCTGGCACCTCTGCTTTGGGCTACCCGAGAGATGAGCCGAGGTGCACCCGAGGCTGTAGGCGATGCTGGTTGGGCACCTCTTCTCGAACGTCGACTTGTCGCAGCGCGGCGCGCAAGACCGCGCAGGCGCGGCCCACCACGCCCCTGCCGCCGCGTCCCTTTGCACGGGCAGATCTGCCCCGGGTAGACTATTCCCAGAGGCTCGCTCTGCTCCGAGCACCATCCCGACGTGTCTCATTTGCGCCGTGCTCTCTCTCCGCCGCAGGCGCCCTCTTCTTCATGCTCACCACGCAGGTCATGTCCTCCTCGGCGTCGATGCGAACCTTCCTCGCCGAGCGGGCCATCGCCCAGCACGAGGCGCGCGCTCTCCGGGCTCTCTCCGCACGCCTCGCATCTCTGCACGCTCCTGCGTCTTCTTCGCACGCGCCCGCGATGCTCCCAACGACGTATCTCTCCCCCGCCCTCTGAACCTTCGCGGAACCGTCCTCTGCGCCAGGCGCGCTCCGCCCTCTGGGCGCCGCTGCCGTACTTCCTCGCGCGCTCCGCCGCCGAGACGCTGCTGCAGGCGACCGCCGCCGCCGCCTTTGGCGCCGCCTGCTACTGCCTCGTCGGCCTCGCGCCCACCGCCGCCCAGTTCTCCTTCTTCCTCGCGCTCGTCACCCTCGCCACCCTCGTCGCCGAGTCGTACGTCGTGATGGTCGGCACGCTGCTCTCGGACGAGAAGGCGGCGGCGCTCGTCGCGCCGCTGCTGCTCGCGCTGATGATGGCCTCAGGCGACGCCTCCCCTCGCCTTCCCCTCGTCTCTCGTTGCCTCTGCTCGTTTGTACCGAGCGTGACGCAGAGGACGTGACTTGCTGCTGCAGGCGGCTTCTTCGTCTCGCACGCCTCGACGCCGCCCCTCTTCCACGCGCTAAACACCGTCAACCTCTTCCGGTGCGGCCCTCGCCCGACCCCTCGCCCTGCGCTTGCCTCCCGCCCTTGCCGACGGCGTCGCTCCGTCGCCCAGGCCGCGCCCGCAGCGCCTCCTCTCCCACCACTCCCGCCCCTCCGCCCTCGGCCCACAGGTACGCGTATGCCGGCCTGCTGCGCAACGAGCTGGCGGGCCTCTCCTTCCGCTGCACCGAGCACGAGCTCGTCGGCCCGCCGCGGCCGCCGCGCGCCGCCCGCCTCGCCCTCCGCGCCGCGCGCGTCCGCTGGCCAGCCAGGGTCTGCCCCATCTCCACCGGCGAGGCGGCGCTCGAGCGCATGGGCGTCTCGGACCTGACGCCGGCCGCGGCGTGCGGCGCGCTCGTGCTCATGGGCCTCGCCTACCGCGCCGCCGGGTATTGGGCGTTGCGCCGGCGCTTCCGCTCGCCGTTGGCCTAGCCTTGGTTTGGCCAAGGTGTATTGAGTGCAGCTGCGCGGCGCGCGACGCTCGCAGTTTCGCCGCGCCTGCCCGATCGCGAGCAGGGTGAATCACACACGCAGTTTGTGCCTTTCACACTTCAAAGCATCAAGCTAAAGCTCTAGACAGTGACACTCGTACCTTTCGGGCTCACACACACGCGCATCACTCTTACCACAGTACGTATTTCACAGTTTCCATACTTCCATAGGCGGATCACACGCGCACACAGTCTCATCACACACGCAGAAACAGAGTCTCCCCTTGCACCCTTGCTACTGCGTAGTCCGTCCTACGCCGCACACAGCCCCCCCCCTCCCCCCCCCCCCCGTCACAATAGAAGCCGTCGCTGCCGTGCGTTACGGCGCCACACATAGAGGAGCACCGTCACAACTACAAGCGCGCTAGCAAGAGCCAGAAGAGTGCTGCTCATGGGCCGGTCCCTCGCGGGAGAGCTCGCCTGCAGCGAACTAAGCGAGCCTCGGGCAGTGCACGTCTTGCACTGCGCTGGCATTCGTCCCACTCCTCGGCCCGTGCACGTGAAGCTATTGCTCTCGGGATCCTCTTCAGGGGGGTCAACAAACATAGCCGTCAACTTGCGAGGATCGATCTCGCGGTAGATGAGCCCAAATTCAAATTTGATAGCTGCGACTGCGCTCAAACTCAAGCCTTGCGGCCACCTTCCAAGCACCACATCGTCGTCATCCGGGACCGCAACTTCCCAGAGCCCAAACGGACTTCCGGCTGGGGTGTCGCAGTTCCACTCCATTCCGTTGTGGAATGGGCAGAACTCGGCCGTCGGCACCGATGTCGCAACCGAGGAAGGAGCGCCCCTGAAGCTGAAGGTGGCCTTGTCAACAGGGTGGGGGCTGATGGAGTAAACGAACACGAACGTCTTCGTACTTGCGGGGATGAATTCCCAGACACTCCCGTCCCTGTCAAGAAACGACTCAGTACCCAGCTTGGTGATGGAGAGCGATATTTTGGTTGAGCCCTGCTGTTGAAGCAACGCCGACATGTTTCCGTGGTCGAGCTCGAGGTAGACGCGCACGTTTTTCATGTGAACACGGTAGAAGTTGCAATCCTTTGCCATCGGGATCCGAATGGTGGTCTTGTTGGTACGCACCAACTCTTCAAACACTAGTGGGTTGCGATCGCGCACGAGTCGGAAACCCGTGCTGTCATAACAATGGGGCGGCTCGGACGCCCTGCGTTCTTTTGTGTCCGTCATTTCTTGCGTCAGCCGTCTCCGTATCGTCGCCAGCTGTGCCGATGTTATTGGAGCCTCAAGCTTGGGATCAAAGGGTTCCAGAGCTTCGTACTCGAATGCAGATATTTGCGCGCGCAGGTATCGAAGCGCGAGGTACCCGAGCTGGTCCCGCTGCCAGTCGAGGGCGTCATGTGTCACGCCCTCGACACGAGACGCGTTCTCGAGTAACTGCACCTTAAGCTTAGTCGCATTCCTCCTGCCCTTTGTGTCCTGCAATGTCATCGAGGCTTGAACCCACTGTCCGAGCAAGTGATTGCGGGCCTTGGCCCCCTCTGACAGTTGTACAAAGTAGGCGGAGAGTTCGTGCTCTGCGAGGTCGCTTTGGTAGTCCTCTAGCGCGCGAACGGCAACCTGCGAGTGTAATGGGCAGCGGGATGATTCACTCCGGGCGTGAGAGGGGATCGGGAAGGCGAGTCCGGGCGTGAGAGGGGATCGGGGATGCGAGTCCTGCGCACCTGCTGGTCGAAAGCGTTGAGATGGAGCCGTGGCAGCGAGACGTCGAGTGGCACTTCGTCGAGCTGCAGCACAAACTCGGTTTGCATCAGCGCACCAAGGCTGGCCGTGTAGTTGTGCAGCAAGACACTATGCTCTGCAAGCGCGTCGATGTGCGCCTCCTTCTCCAGAACAGCTGGCGTGTAAATCCGATCAACCATCATCGACACCCCGCGCGCGTAGCTAGCAGCCGCGTGCAAGTACATATATTTGCATTCATCCGCGTTGTCAATCGTGCTGTCCAAACCTCTCATGAAGGGCACGCCGACCGCACTGTCCAAGCACTGCGCCATGAGTCCGAGATCAGGGTGTGTTGTGCACATTCCCTCGGTGACCTTGTGGAAAAGAAAGCCGGCATCCCTCACCGGTCGGCTTTGGTGGGTGTCAAAGGAGGGGCGAACGCCAATGGAACCATCAGCGTAGACAACGAGCGCGTGCTGGAAGTGTGACAAAAGCCACGGCATTGCCGGAATGGGATCGTCTTCGAAAATGACGCGGGTCAGATCGAGAGACGCGTACTGCCGACCGCCCTCTACATCTGTGACTTTGGGTTGAGCGAACGTGACGGCATGATAAGGCACGCCCTCGTCTTCTAGCTTCATGGCAACAAGGACGGCAATAGCGCCGCCCAAGGAGTGGCCGGTTACGTGGACTCGCGAGTATCTCTCCTTGAGCGGTCCATACTTTTCGATCACGTGCTTCCACATGGCAGCGGCAGCGGCTCGGAAGCCCGCATGCACCTTTACGCCGTTCACACCCCACTCGTCCTCATACATGAGAGATCCGATGATGTCGAGCCCCCAACTCTGTGCATCGTTAGTGCCTTCGAAGCCGAGATGTAGCACCCTGGTATCGCTGCTCTCTATCGCGGCCACACAGTGCAGCTCCCCGGTGAAGGTATGGTTGAGCCACGTTGAGAACCGCCAGCGGACGGGATAGCGCCCGACTAGATCGAGGCCGCTCGATAAAGTGCTACTTTCGTCGCAAGCGCTACTGGCGACAGACCAAGCGCGCTGGATCTGTGCAATGTCAAGAGACCGCAAGAAACCACCCACCTCGTCGGCTCTTTCAAGAGCCTGGGCTGACTTAGTGGATTGGATCTGATGGAGCTGATCCCAGCACGACATGGCAACCATGGCGTGCATGCCAAAATCGGCCAGCTTGTACAAGAACTGCATCTTGAGCAGCGTCCAACCCATGTCCATA